TTTCACATTACGGTTGGAATTCTGCGCGAGGCTGGAGCGTTAGTAGATAGCCCTTCGGCTAACTCAGAGGATGTCGGAATTTAATCTTCAGAGAAGGTAGCTTGAAAGTAATCATCATGTCCAGTGTCGGTCAAAATACCAGTTAATTCGTCGAATTTATTCAATGTTTGATAGGTCCAGGTGGGATTAAAAACGATAAACCGACTTTGCCGTTTATGAATTTCTTTCAATTTCTATCGCAGATATCAGAATTCTCTTCTGCCAAGTCATTTATCACATCATTCATAACTGAACGAGGTTTGAGGCAGTTTTTAAACCTGATGCTCCAAGCCAAAACGATTTCCTTAGTCTATGTCAAGGCAAAATAATGGAAGCGAATCAGTTGTTTTCATAGACAGTACTTACCACAATCTGTAGCCTTCAGTGCCCTGCTTGGAAAATAATTTTAACCATCTCTTTTCGTCCTTTGAGTTTTTTCCAACACACGTCATACGTCAGTCACATCAGGCAGCCAATAAAATGTGATTGTCTATTTCTGTTCGACTGTCGGTTCCGTAATCACTCTCTTTCCCAGGCCTGCTGAACGGTTAAACATAAGCGCCAGTGGAAAAGGTCCTTTAAGTATTATCAAATACCTATTGATTTTGTCCGCTTGTTGTCAGCCGATTTACGTAGGATTTCTATCAGACCAAGCGCAGGACAATGTTTTATTTGTGGAGCGTTATTCCATTGTATGCACCGAGCGCCTTTTCACTGACAACTTACTTGACGTGGAAACTGAGAGAAACTACCCAACATGAACATGGAAATATCTCCACCGTCAAATATGGATTAATGGACAACCTGTAAGCTTATGCGCCAAGTGAGGATAACGAATGAACTCGCTCCAAGGACAACTGGAGAAGAAGCAAGGAAGTAAATTAATTTGTTTGTTCTCATGTTAATTGTCTTGCAGTAATTCGTTAGGATCTTCTCTCAGCCTCCGGGTCCTTTTCGAGTGAGCGGTGACAAGCCTGGGGCGAGCTAGAGGAAGCAGGTGAAGGTGCCGAGCCTCAGATCGATGCGTTTGGACGATTCTTTCAGAAATCTGATGGGATTGCTAGGTTTTCATGACAAGGGAATTTATAGGTATTTAATAGTTTTTCATGTAGATATTTGTGTTTTTAACCCTAATGAACCCCTGGAGTGACCAGTTTTTAATTTCTCCTCACAATAATACTACCGAGTCATTCTTTAAGATAATGAGAATATGGCAACTGATCACCAACTTAACAACCTTTGATTGTTAAACAAATTATCCTTGTCAGTACCAGAGGAATTATACAGAGAAAAGTAGACTGAAGAAGTTTTCCTCACTAACAATTATATTACAATGTGTTTATATTTTCTGTTGTTTCTATCCGCTGGATGAAAAGACGGTGACATGGTGTACACTCAAATAAAACAAATTTATTAAAAACTGGGTAGGAAATAATACATTTATCCTTTCAGGCCCCCAATATCTCAGTAGTAATTCTTCTTACTGTCTGTTATACAATTCTTATTATTTTAGTTTAGAGAATTTTGTATTTGATAAACTAATAATACCTAATTGAAATTTTTCTAGCAGCCAAACAAGAAATCAAGCGGAGTTTTCAATGGTCTGGTCTGGACTTGAGCAATATCAACCAAGAAGGAAAGAGTACTTTTGACCAATTTCAGAAAGCTGTCTAACGAGTGTTTTTAAATAAATTATGACGAACCCCTGAATGAACCCCTGTTATTCACCTAACATATCACACAGTTTAAAAATACAAAAGATTTTTTGCTGCATGCGGTGTGATACGAGGACCAGGGTATTCAACTTTTGAAATTTTCGATGTCGCAAGAGGTCAAAAAAAGGGCCTTTTTAAAGCGAGTAATTTTTCACACGATTGTCAAGAATTTTTAATCGCATTCAAACATCAATGATATATTGATTATAAACATTGTCATCAACCGACCCGATATTTGCCGAAGATTGCCGAGTATGAAGCGAATAATGCCGGACGGTATTCGATGGCCATCCAGATGCAATCGGTATCGGAGTAGTACTGATGCCAACCGTAGCCGTTGTCCTTGACGCCAGCAAAAGGATTATGGGTAATTCCAGGTGCCATATGCACATCTTCATAAATGCTTTTGAAGTCATTGGAGCGAAATTTCTGCATTCTTCCTGTGCCATATATCTGGGTGTGGACCTAAAAACGCAAATACAATCGTTCACTTATCTTATTTACCTCTGTACGCTGGCAGTTACTCAGGCATCTTAAAGTTGTCATTTGAATGTTAGAAATTATGCCACGGGATGTTTCAATAGAATAATTTATATTCTCTGAACTATCCACATCTGCTATGCCTGCTATTGGAACACTTACTTGAAATGCCTTAAATAGACTTCAGTATGTAATTCTTGTCATTTTCAATAAGATTAGGTTACATTCAATAAGGGAGTATTCAAAATAAGCCACGCCCAATAATAGAATGGGGTGGGAGTGGGGCAAAAGAAATCCACTATTTGTAAATACCTCTAGCATTTCTGGGTCAGTGTATAAGTTATGAATCCCACAGTTCGTTTTAGCCGGGCAGAACCACACATTCACTTTAATGTTAAACTTCTTCACAGTGCTACCCAGTTACCGAGTATGGATCAAATCTAACGGACCCAACATCAAACTGTAGGGACTTGTATAACGGAACTTCCTTCGGGTAAGTTGGCACTTGTGCTGTAAGCTGACACCAGTCGTTTTCCAGAACACAGCCACCGATATTGAGATCGTCTGGAACCTTGATGAGCACGAGGAACTCGGTACTAATAACTTTCACACCTACGCAAAAGATATGATGTGTGAAATACCTGCGACCGATCAACTCTGGGATTTATCTACTTCAAAGCTATTTTACTTAGTACTCTCTATTATATTTCTCTTCGGGAATCATCAAATTTGCTCTCTGAACTTGAGGACTTTCACATCCTTGCTGAGAGACTGATGTACAACCCAAGTACTACACAAGGCAAAATGGAACCCTTTATCGGATTTTTATAAGAAATTACTGGCTCGCATTACTTTCCAGGTTTACTTTGTATGTGAAATATATATATAATTTTTTCCGTATTCTTTCCTATTTCTTTTTATTCACTTAGTTTTATATCGTAATTAGAGCAGATTCACATCAGCATTCGCTGCCATCTTCTACCATCCAGCTTTACCAAATAAAGGATGTATGTTTTTATCTTTGTTTGTATGTATGTATGTATGTATTTACATAGAGCAAGATCAAAAAGTCCTTCAAATAGGCATTTGGGTTCGATTGATCGACTGGAACAACACTTAAACAAGGCTAATCAGGTAACTTAGGGATAAATCTGTTCATAAAAAGTTGTTTGCACGGGAATGCTATAAAAATAATAGTTTAAGAGATGACGCACTTTCACGCACAGCAAAAAGAAGTTTCCTGATCCTAAAAAGATGTTTGATGCCTTGCACGATTGGGGGTACAAATGCAGCACCAACATTACGCCTATCGTGAGCTGCAACACAGATGAAAATGCGAATACAGTCCGTACATGGCCTGGACACTGGAAAAGCCAGCAGCATCTTTATGATGAACACACGGGAAGATGGCAGTGGCACTCATGATGAATACATCGGTAACGTGAACTATGGACGCGGTCATCTGGATGCACAGAAATGGTGGGACGAGCAGTACCGTGATCCGTTAGACTAGGGATTGGACTTAGTGTGGCAAGACATGACCACTCCAGCCATGAAAGCGAGTGTTTATCAGCCTGACTGTTCCCTGCTGTCATTTCCTATGGATATAATGATCAGTGACAACGAGGAAACCAGGTTTGTTACTTGTAAGGAAAGGAAAGATATTGGCAAAATAAATCAGTCCGCGACATTCAAGGATTTTTTTTTGTCAAGGTCGGTAAATAAATAAATGATAAATATTTATCCGTTTTCAAATTTATCCGCGTCCACACGTTGCCGTTTGTAAATCGTTTTTGGTGTCCACACGTAAACGCAAAAACGATTTGAAAACGATGACGTCGCCTACTGAGCATGCTCTTTAGAGCAAAACATGTGCCCGCAGTCTCGCGTATCCTGAGCCTGAATCCTCTTGGCTGTGCTCTTGGGCTTCTCAATCTTATCAACAGGGTTCGTTTGCTCCTCGTGGTCAAAAAGGAGTTTGGTAAGATGTCTAATTCAAATTAGTACCGAAACTAGAGCTTGTTTATTCGCCATGTTTTCATTAATGGTCGATCGGCCGAGTGTACGCGTTGGACTAGGTTTGAATTGTTACGTCATCGTTTTCAAATCGTTTTCAAATTTATCCGGATAAGGCGTCCACACGGAGACGCTTAGCCAGCGTTTTCAAATTTATCCACTCTGGAGAGCGTTTTCAAATTGATCCGTTTTCGGTGTGTGAAAACGCCGTTTACGTGTGGACGGAACCCGTAACCGTATAAATATTTATCCGTTTTCAAATTTATCCGGATACGTGTGGACGGGGCCTAAAGTTATATCTATTCATTAATAACTTTTTTTTAATAGCAAAAAAATTAGAATACGAAGCGGAAACTGTTTTTCCTCCGTGACTGATTAACCTTTAACCTCCCATAAGTGACATCAAAACGTAACTTCTTCCTATAATAGCTATTTATTATCCTCCAAACAGGAAACAAGAATACTCAAACGTATCAGGTAAAGTTATTTTGATCTAACACCAAATTCCCATAACTAATTGGAAATGTGTAGCAGCTAGAGAGAGAGATAAAAAGTCAAAGGGTTGATGAATTAAAAAAGACGCAAATGTGGAGAATACAGTGAGCAGACTGCTAGACAAGGTATCAGTCAAACTGAGATGAATAGATAATTTTATTCGAACTTCATACAAAATTGAAATAGACCCATGGATTGAATGAAATAAACAGTGCAGCTGCACTTCGATTGAAAATAAAACAATGGGCCTCAGGGTGCTGTAAATAATTGTTTAATTTCTCCACCCATAACGCTTTAAAATTATATCTTTAATACGGTAAACTGCGACAAAAACACCAGATTCTAGCGGCAATACGTGGAGACACTCGTCCTTGAGACGCCAACGACAACTGGAAAACACTAAGATTTGCTGACGATATCGAAGTCCGCAAATATCCGGCATCAATAGCAATTAATCACTTAATAAATGAAATGGCAAACTGTGTCACAAAAATTTGTTGTCACGCAACACCCCTGGTCGTGACAAAACACGGAGAACCTTCTAGAGCTCACAACGAATCCTTAAGCGTCAGAGGACGAGCCTTTTGCGATGCGAGCATAACATTTATTGGAAAAGGGACTTTTGCGTGACCACAGAATTAACTAAAAGTGGAAAATACACACTCTCGTATCAAATACAATATCATGCTTGTGCCTGATTAAGATAAACGGCATAACAAGAGCGAGCAACTTCGTTTCCAGTGTCCTCTCTCTTCCTCCCTCGAGGAAAGGAAAGAGAGAAAACTGGGTACAAAATTAACCTGCGAAGCTGAAACGTACGCCTTATGAAATGACGTTATTACCTAAACGAAACGGGGAAAAAGATAAGTCTCTTCTTGACTTCGTTTGTTTCACTTGTTATGCTGCCGGCGAGAATCATACCTGGTTATTGATTACTACTCATTTTTAGCTAACTTACGGGAGTAGAAACAACACCCACCCAGTAAAAATCACAGCCACCCTCCCCTCCCTCCCCATATCCAGAACTTTCCCATAATCCTGTGCGCCACTAACATTTAACTCCAAAGCTTAACAATAACAATTTCAATGCTGTGAACAAATTTAGCTAAATGTAAATCATAACTGCACCCGATAATAAAATATCCTATGGCACTTCTGAACCCAACTGGAACAGAGGCAATTGCAAACGTCATTTCACCGTTTTTTGCTATTTACAATCTGTACTTATACTGTGAAAGCTAATAAACACACTTATTAATTGCAGATAAAGGGTACCAAAGCTTTATGAATTAGCTTGGGCATCCTGTGACGAGAAACTGTAAATTGTGCCAAATTCAAATATATGGCAAACGAGTTCATTCTTTTCAAGAGCTTTCCACAGTGAAATCATTTTGAGCGCGGAAATACCGCATTATAAATACGTTGAAAATGTCCTTAAATTCTGCATATTTAACAAAATACGACAATATCAATAACGTTCATTGTCCAACAATAAATAGCGCCCCCCAACCCCCTAAAACGATCAAGTCAATAAATATGCACTGTTCGTACAGCATTATGTAGCTTCATTTGAGATATCCTCTTCAAATAAAGGAGGGAAAACACGAAGGAAAAAGTTGTTGAACGCCGCGCGATGAACTAAATGAGAAGAAACAGCAACTGAGCATGGCATTATGGCAAAAACAAAATTTTTGAATGTGTGACATGAAGGTAGAAAAATGATCGGTCACGCATGCGTGAAATTAGGAGCCAAACCTGATAAAATGTTAAATCGGTGATAAATTGGTTATAAATTGGCGATACGACTTTGGGAAAAGGAAACAGTCCAAAGATGGCGAGAAAAAAACATGCTTGCGTAAAATCATAGAGAAACAAGAAATTGCCACAAGACAGCGAGAAAAGAAAAAAAAAAAAAAAAAACCCACACACACTCTGCGTCACTCTGTGGCTAGAAAAAAAAAACTAGGACTGCATAACATCACAAGCTTTTATACATAAGCGTATCATGGTGAGGAAAAAGCTGAGATGTTCGGCACCTTTTCTGGAAAAAAACCCAGCTGTTCTACCACCAAAGACACCAGAAGATTTCGTAGGCTACGAAGCGCAAGTAAACGCCCTTACACATCACCCTTTTAAATTCATTACCTTACTTCATTACCCAGAAGGGCACCTAACAATAAATATTATCCCATTTAAATAAATTATGGGTCCATCGGAATAATACCAAATCCCAACAATACCTAATTAAACACTGAGTAACAATAAATTGATAACCTTAATTAAATTACTTACTCCTTAGTGTATAAACATCTACGCGGGCCTTTGTTGGCTCAAATGTAATTTTTAACTTCTTAGACAAGACACAACAGTTCAGATACCCCAACATTTCTAACAGAAAGTAGAAGTACCCCTCCCTCAGTTAATCTATCTGGGCCAGTCCTGCCCTGGATCTTCCACTGATAAAAATTATCCCTGCTATAGGATTAACTAATTGCATGATTTGACCACCACGGGTGAGGCCTTTTTTCCCCGTTGTACGGCTTGATAACCTTGCCACCAAAAAACCTTGGTAACCTGGCGTCCAAAATTACAGCTTGGTTACCTTGTCACCATAAAGGGAAGCATATGTGATTTCCAGGTCACAGACGCTCAGTTGTCTCACTTTCGTTTCGTGCAGAGTCCGAAGGTCTTGTGAACTCTAAGAAAGAAAGCACGATCAGAATCTGTCAAAACTTGTAATCGTGTAAATTTTTCAAAATATGACGGTATTACTGAACGCTTTGAATTGTACAGAGGACACTACGTTGACGAAGGGAAATCCAACGTACCTTTTTTCTATCCTCATCGAGAGTTTCGTATAGTTTATCGTGTTCTTTCTCCAACTCTTCGCTTTCTTTCTTGTGGAACTCTGTCATCTAAAATCAACAAATATGAAAAAAGGTTTAAATATCAATCAGTCAGCCAAGCTGTCAATCATCTATCCATCAATCAATTGGTCACTTAGTCTGATCTTCTATCAATCAACCAACCAATCCCTACGCAAGTAATCTGTGCCGAAAAGAAAACAAATGTGGGACAGAAAGAGAAAACTAGGGCGTTGGCCGGATATGTCAATTTCATTGAAGTTATTTTTAGATTGGGGGCGGTGGTTTCCTGATGTAATTTTTATTACCGAAACCATTTTAATCACAAAGAAAAAATATCCTCGCTGTTCGTTCAGTGTTACTCACAGGCGACTTATACTCGTTGAAAGGGGATGGATGTCTTTCATCTTTCATAGCGAAAGGCAACATGCGTAAAAGAGATTATTTTCTCTTGGTACCAAGTGATATTTGTCTGGAGAAAACGTACATTTTATCTGAACTGGACCTCAGATGATTCATCCTTTCGAGAGACAAATCAAACCCAACGAAACACAAACCTTTTGTCGCTCTTTGACGGACTGTTCAATGTGTTTCTTGTTTTCCTCCCGTTTCCTCCTGGAAAGCAAAAGTGAGCCATGAGACTCGTGGGAAGAAAGTAGAGATTGGCTCAAACTTTCAAATCGCTCAGTTACATCTAAACCGAAAGTAAAAACAAGATGACTTTCTGATCCCTGAACGGCGCAGTTTTAGTAAAGGACTACAAAAAAAATGAAAGACGCAGAAGCCAAACAACAGATACACCGAACAAGATGTGACTCGAGAGCTCGCATGACACTAGCTCGTAAGCGGGTCCCATTCTCCATTCGTGACTATTTAACTGCTGTAGAAAAAGACGGAGAAAAAAAACGAATAAAGGAAAAAAAGAAGTGAGGAGAAAGGAAAGAACGGAGAGACAAGGGGGGAAAGACAGACTGGAGTAAAAAAAAAAAATGAAAAAAAAACACCGACAAGCATAGAAAACCTGCGGGAAGGCATGACAGCGAGAATACTCCTTTGTCGTTTCTGTTGCCATAAGGTTGTTAAAAAGGATACATTAACAAGACAAACATGGCAAACCTTTGCAGTTCATCTTTGTTAGAATGTTGTCGCGCCAACACTTTAAGTTCCTCTCTGTTCTGATTGTCCTGGCTCTTTCTTAATTCATTCATTTGCCTGAAAACAATGAATAATTCAGCAATAATCACAAACACAGGCACACACTAAGATCATAGCGTAACTGTCTTGCAACAAAATTGCTAGACGAGGCAGAACCATCAAATAACCATAGCCATCCTGGTTCATCCTTTCACCACAAGTATCAAGTGGAAGACAGTCGCAGTCCTGAGGTTTGAGTTTTGGAACAAAATCCTATAATGTGCCCTTGGTAAAATACGTTTTTAAACACACCATTCTATATCATTAAATTTGGGGTTTTTCTACCATTTTTAAGTTTGGAATCCTTGAGAATCAGAGGATGGTTCCTCTCTTACTTAGCGTGTAAATCAGCCAGTGATTTCATCTTCTCCTCCTGTGAAAGTCGCATCAGCTTCTCCAGTTCCTCTTGTTTCTATGTGAAAAAGGCACGAAAAAAGAAACATTTCGAAAGTGACAGAAGACAAAAATATAGAGAACAAAAAATGGGTAAAAACACTTTAAGATGCTAAAATACACAGAACTAGGACGAGTGGAACATGATAAATTATATTTTCTAATGCATGGTGATTTGATGTGCAAGAGACAAACAGAAAATGTACGAATGAGTTATTTACGAACGATCCGTAACCCTTTGACTCGCTAAGAATTTCTAGCATCTAATTTCTCTTTACAATATCACCCCTGAATCACACATTAAGGTCACGAGAATAGGAAAAATGATCACCAAATAGAAAAGCTCTTGAGTGTTAAACAAAATCTCTTTATAGCACCTTAGCAAATCTAAAGAGGACACTAAGGAGAATATGCACACAAATATTAGGATGTGAAGGGTCAATAAAGTGAATGAGCTCGAATTCATCCTTACAGGAAGAAGTTGCTTCTCGGCGAGCTCCAACTGTTCATTCAGCTGCCTTTTCAGCAGGTCAACCATAGAGTCACGATGTTGACGTTTAAGGGCATTGATCTGAAAAAAAAGCACCCTGAATTACTTTTAGTTTGGCACAGGTGGAGCAAAATTTGTTCCGTGCCTCAGGTAAGTTATGCTAACACTACTTCAACGCCCTACCTTGAAAGGAAGCAAAATAATGAACGATTAGTGCATTTTTGAAACAAAAAGAAGTCAAACCGAGTGAAACTCTGACCAAAGCACGTATGTTCAAAGATGATCGTCAAACTTGGTGCTGTGGCAAGCAGCATAGATGCACTATAGAACTTGAGATGTACGCTGAGATGCAAGTGCCAAGGTGACCACTATAACATTTGCAATTAAGGCAAGAGACAAAGTATCGTGTCTTATTTAAGTACAACGCTACTGTGGGTAAACCAAAATAATTTCCTCCAGCTGGTTGATAGAGCGAGAGCTTTGTATTTTCGATCTAATGACCTCGTCAGTGGTCACTGTCATCTAGAATTTAATGTTTCTTTGATCTGTTGGGTTCTCCAATCATTGGTAACAGCAAGTTTTCATATTTGATTGATTTTGTAGCCTAATACAAACACAGGCGGTTGAATTTTCTTTCTAGCAAACATCAACAAAGCTGATTGGATATGTCTTCACCGTCTGCTTCAGTTCCGCGAATCTGGTTGGCTTCTTTAATAAGTTCAAAAAAAAAATTGTAAATTTGGTCCCTTTTCTCATTATGACATACTACAAATCTGCGAATCTGGTTGGCTCTCTCACCATGATATATCACAACTGCGAATCTGATTGGTATTCACATGATGGTATATCATAAACCTGCAAATTTGTCTGGTTTTCTAAGGGCTTCGACAGACGAGAAATAGTGATCGACAGTTAATACTATGAAATCTTAGATTACTAGCATATTAAGTTTTTTTTTCTTTTCATGAGGTCAACAGCAAAAGAAAAAGTAAATAAAAAACGTTTCAACCCTTCTTTAGTAATTCTCTCGTTGATAGAGACTGAAGCAGGGTGGAAACGTAGTAATGCCTAAAACTACAACAAAAACAAAAACAACAAACATGCAGATAAAAGTTTTAACAGATAAAAAGGTACAGGCTATCGATCAGAATTTTCACAGCTGTCGAAGCCCGCGTATGGATAGCGCCTTTAAAGGCGTGTACGTACGATTGAATCCTTGTCAACACCGCCTGGCTGTACCTAAGAGTTCCAAGAAAACAAACCACAGCAGTTCCACGTGAAAATCAAATATCTTTGACACGCTACAGAATTTAGCTCCAGCTGTGCAAGTTGTGCTTTGCGGTGCAACTCATTTGTTACTGCTGTGCTGTTTTCTTAGCCACTTTTCAGTCGTGCAATGTTGTGCTCGCAATTACCTTATTAAAAATTACATTTGAGAATTACGAGAGTTGAAAAACGTGTTTTCGATGCTAAAGCACAATTTAAGTCTTAACCTAACGGTGCAATTAAGAATAATATAATAAGCAATCTAAGAACAATACCCGAGTGATGTGTGGTTTACAGTACAGAGTTATAATCAGTGACTGGAATTAAGTTTAAGAAAGATGTTTCACGCGAAGTACAGGGAAGAAAAAAGTTATGAGTCGTGGATGTCATGCAAATTAAAAGCTTAATACTAGTAATATAGCTAAAAATTTAAAAATAATAAAAGTTACAGAGTATGATCACAATACCGAGAGGAGTCAACAAACCCTGGGAAAAATAAAACCTCACATTTTCTGAGTATTACTAGGAAAGTCTAGGGACATATGAGGGGAAACGTTGTAATAATTATGAGTAATCGAGGACAAATAGGGGACATTCTAAGAATTTATAGAATTTTTTTCTTTTTAAGGAAGACGTTCTAAAGAAATTCTACGTAATATTGGCCGTTTTTATGCTAGAGACGTTAAAGTTGTCCAAGACGTTAAAGTCGTCTCGAGACGACTTTAACATCTTAGACAACTTTAACGTCTCTAACATAAAAACGGACATTTTGAGGAACTGTGCCAGCTATGCTTTGCTACAAGAATGTGTTTTGAGATTTGTAGGATTGCGCCTTAGAATTATTGTGAAATTATGGAAATGTGTTTAGGAATACTGGTAAACTTTAGGGATATCTCTTCAAACGTCAGGAGATTTTTAGGAACATTTCGAAATACTTCTTGGACAACAAACATTTCTGAGAATGCATACAAACATATCTAGGAATTACGGCTAATTTTGATGATAAATTCTACGAACGTTTAGGAATATTTACAAGAATATCAAAGAATTTTTGTGAAATTTTAAGGGAATATTTCGAGAAATGTCTGGGAAATTTCAATATCATACACTTGAACTGATTTTCTGATCAAGGGCATTGGATTTCTATGAAAAAATTCCAAGGAATATATATGATGCCTTAAAAGAAATATTTGAAACGGGGTGGGAGTATCTGATAACACTAAGTAGTATGTCTAGAAATTGTCAGAAAATTTAATTTCATGATATATTCGTACGTTTGGTTATTTGCAAGACTAACTGGAGGAGTTTCTGAGACTTTCCAGGAAGTTCTAAGAACTTTCAGTAAATATCTTTCAATTTCTGAAAATTTTTGGGTATATGATTTGAAATTTATAATTTCCATGATTTTGTGTTTACTTGATCAACAGATATTTTGAAATCATTTCTCACAAATTATCTGAATTAATTCAAGATTACTTCAACTATTTTTCCTTTCAAATCCAATTTTGTTTTCATCATCCTTCTTTGCTGGGGTTTAATGGTTTCTTTACCTTAATTTCATGACTTTGAGCCAGGTTGTTCAGGCCTTCAACTCCCTTGCGGTAACTTTCTTCAAAATTTCTGCAAAGGAGCCAACAGAACAGAATTACCTAATAATAATAATAATAATAATAATAATAATAATAATAATAATAATAATAATAATAACGATATTAACAACAACAACAATAATAATATATAATGGTAATAATAAGAATAAATAACAACAATAATAAAAAATGCTAAATAATAACTGTTTTAGTATATACCACACAGATACCAAAAAATTGGTTTATATATTTCAATGCAATGAAAATTGGTCAGAAAATTAGCTCCTGACCAGTGATTTTGTCTCATTTGCTGCTCGGAGGTGAATAGCATTTGCTTATTGCTTCCAAACCAGCCAATGAGCGAGCGCGAAATGCACTAGTCTCTATGTGTAGTATAAGTGGTATATACTAATAACAATCATTATAACAATGATAACAATAATAATACTTTCTTCGTATTTTCTATTTGACAAGTTGCTTACCCTTTCTTCTCGGCCTTCTTGAGTTCTTTGTCACTTTTTTTCTTGGAAGACACTTTCTCCTTATCTAGGTCTTTGATCGTCTTCTCCTGCTCCAGTAGGTGATTCTTTTGAAGTTTGTCTTTATCCTGAGTTAAAAAAAAAAAAAATCTTAGATAGGCTAAATTCTTAGAATGGTTAATTTGGTATCACTCAACAATACACCCTTATAAACTTTTAAAGCTCTCTTACCTTCTCGTGTCTTTTGACCAAGATGTCCATTTCTTTCTGGTGTTTTTGGTTCAGTTTTAAAAATGGCTGATGAATAAAATAACTAGAAATGAGCTCCAAGGCAGAACAAACAGAAGAGGATTATAATAAGAAATAACGGACTAGGGTAAACAATAAGTTTATTGTCCCTAATTTCAAATCATTTGGCAAATAAATATTGAAAATCCTGACTATATTCAGAGAGAGGCCGGCAAAGAGTATTAAAGTGCATGCGACAACCCCTAAAGGTAACGTGGGTAGTTTTCAAATCACGGTTCCTTAAACTCAGGATTTCAGGGAAATCTGGGAAAGCATCACTGTGAGGACGATACATCGCGAGTTTGATGAGCTAATTCATTTAATTATTTATTTCAATTATTAACATTCATTACCAGATACTCAGATTACCTTTCGAGATAAATAGCTGTATATCTATCATGATAACTCTGAAAAGTGACGATTACAACAACAAGTTTCTTTCACACTGATGTATGACCGACTAGGAAGACGCATCTGTCAAGATGTCAAATGCTTCCTTTTGAAAAAAGAATCTGTTATTTTTCTGTAACTTTCTATACTGGAGGATGATATGATGTGTGTTCTGGAAAACAACTTATAGATCACAAATCTCTATTTATTTTGGAGTATGTTCAATCATATTTACATGAAAAAGAACTGGCATTACAGAAAGTTGCTGTTCTCATGTACAAGGGAGAGAGATAACTCAGATCTTTGTTGAACTGCTTCATGATTTTCAACATCAAATGTCTCAAACCTGTCAAGAGGTGAAACTATTTTTGAAACGAATAGTAAAATTTTCTATTCAAAATACAAGATATTTCTCACCTTGCGCTCCTTCAGTTCTCTGACGGATGCAGGTTCTACTTTGGTGTCTGAAATTCAGTAAATTACCTCTCTCAGTGAAACAAAAATACATTTTATTAATCAAACATACCACACTAGAAAGAGCATTTGGGGGAACGTAGAAGAAAACAGCTGAGAAACAAGCACTAAAGTAATGACAATTTCTAATACTGAGATTTAATTGTACGTTTTACAGTTGCATGCTTGGTTGCCAAGCCTTTGAACAGGAGTGAGGCTATGGGTGACCTTGCTACGATACAAATCTTGCTGTTTTTCAAATGGAAATTACTTTGTTATCACGCTAACTAGATACTGGTCTCTATCACAACAAGGTCACCTTCAGCCTCACTCCAAATCAAAGGCTTCGCAACTAAGCACATAACTGTAAAATGGCCTATTGAGGTTTCCGCTGGACCTAAAGCAAACCCCGACGACGACAGCAACGAGAACTGCAATTTGGACGTGGCAATAACAATAGATCAATGGACAGAACAAGAGCTCCGCATGTGCGTTTTTAAACTTTTTACAGTTCTTGGTTGTTCTCTGCAAAATACCAATGTGAAATCACCAAAACTCGCGCGATCTGAGAACGGAAACTTCCACAGCTAATCATTTGAGTTTCCATTGGCACCCAGTGCTCCTCCCACACGTTGGGCGGAAGTTGAGGTGTGGCTCCGAAAGAGACGGTGAACACATCCAGGCATTCGCAAAATTTAATTAAAAATATTTATTCATTACTTAATCCCAGTCTTCCTTAGCGTTGCTGTCTTGACTGCTTAAGTCCCCTAACGTTGTCACACAATATATTTTAAAACACATTCTCCTATGCAAGAGTGCTCAATACATCTTTTAAAATGAATGACAAAGAGGGTGTCTGAAAATGACATTGCTTGCCATCCCAGCTTCAATAGTTTTACCCCTTCAACTCCCACAAGCGATCAACATGTAACTTCTCCCAATAATATCCATACGTTATCCAACAAACAGGTAATGAGAATTCTCAAACTTATCAAGTAGAAGTTGTCATCTTGATCTAACGCCAAATTCTCCTAACTAATTTACATGGAGATGTGAAACAGTTTGAGGGGAGAATTAACAATCAGATCTAGGGAATTAAAGGGTTAAAAAACAGAGACGGAGTGCAAGTGGCTGTGACTACGTATTGGTAGATCAGTAACGCCCTACCCGACCCTTACCATGGCAAATACAAATTACCCTCCCTACTAACCTACCAATGGAGATTTTCTTAAAAACCTTAGCCCCCTTCCCACCCTCTACAAAGACCCCAGTTTTTCCAAGATTATTTGGCTGTAAAAGAATCGTTTTTTTCCCTTTTGGAACCCCTCAAGATACTTTCTTCACAGATAGTAACATAAATCAGTTTTTTTGCTACTTAAGGATACGAACTTATCGTCACCTCTGTTTGAAAACCTTGCACAACAGTATAAATGATTGTTTCTACAAAGTACACAATTTTTGGTTGTCAAAAAAAAATTGAAATTTTATCTTATCCTGTTAGTTGTCATGTGAAACGATTGTTGCATTTAAGGCTGTATGTCGGTAAGGAACGAGAATCCTTCAAAAAGGCTCATTGTATAACAAATTTATCAATAATGATTCAACCTAACTGCAGCATTCAGTTTCAAAAAGATAAAGGCCAAGACATACTAAGGTAAAAGTCGTGGGGACATGTTGGAACAATTTGCAGGATTTCAAAATGGTTTCAATTGATATTATATTAAAAAAGATAACGTGAAAAGTTACAGATGGAATGGTGTGTTGCAGAGCAGTTTTGAAGCGACTTGCCAGTCAACCATACTTTGCAGATTAAGTGTTAATACAAAAAAAAACTTTCACTGTTTGCATTTACGCTATTCAAAGCCCGTTTTATCAAATTCTCATTTTGCATCATGGACATTTACAAGGCCATCAAATGTTTACTGATTGTTATCATTTAGCGATTGTTAAAGAACCTGTTGATTCACTGAGACACAAGATCGTCTTATTTAGTATGGGCAGAGGTGGAAATCAAAGTAAGTCTATAATTTCATCTTAATATTTCATTATGTGTGTAAATGAAACACACAAGATTTCATGTTTTATCAACTTTAGTTTTGCAACATTCGTTTGAAATGCACTCTAATGGGTCACCTCTACCTACTTGTACGTATATAATTGAAAGGTTAACCAGTGACACCCGGAACCTTCCAGACAACAAACAGTCGATATGATTATTTTTAGCCTGAGTTCAACAAAAAAGTTACAAAAATGTTAACAAATTAAGTTACTGGAAGGTTAATTAGACTTTTTATAAGTTTCATGTGATCAGTTATCATTATTTAAATGAACTTTCAAAGGGTAAATTAGAGACAGCAATTTTCAACCGAGTGTCGAAAGCAAAAACGAGATTACATTTGTTTTGCCTTACTTCGCTATGTGATTGGTCCGGAAACTCGCGCCACTCTCTCAACCAATCAGATGCGAAACCAAAACAAATCACAACTTGGTCGCCCGCGTTTTCGGCAGTTTGGTTGTTTTTTCTCCGAGTTCTCATTGGCTCTTAAAGGTTTACGCTGTTGTGATTACTTTGGACACTCAATCGAAAAGCACTCTATATGTGGTACAGATGATAGTGAAAAACAAATTGGGTTATTCAAAAATAAATGGGCACCTACAAAAATGTCGGAATGCCATGTTTTCTTCCCTTATACTACTCCCTGAAAACAAACATTATCCTGAATTTAGAATTTGAATAATATACTTGATATAAAACGGCAGGGAAGGGCCATCATATCTTTGACGGGAGGAGGGGAGAGGGGAGGGGAGGGGAAGGGGAAGTGAGAGGGGAGGGGAGGGGAGGGGAGAGGGGAGGGGAGGGGAGGGGAGAAGTGGGGCAACAACTAAAAAATGCGCACTGGGGGCTACGCGAAAATAACAATTGCGCAAGTGTTCTCTTCTACGGCAATTTCTTTCTTATTTCAATTGAAAAAAAAAATTGCAAATGCACTACGTATAAAAAGAGAGAGACAGAAAGGGAAACAGCTGTTTTCTTCTTTACAAGGAAAAAAATATTCTGCCGAGAAACGAAGGCCAAACCGCTCTCAGAAATGCAATAGTCTTTCTCCGATGATGTTAGTGCACATTTTACATCTCTGGGTGCAAGTGCAGTATTAGAAGAATAATGATTATACAGCTTGTCAATATCATTATTATTATTATTATTATTATTAACGTCATCATCATCTATTTACTGAGACAAGAATTACTAGTTTTAAAATGTTAACGATTTTTCCAGAGGGGATAAGATAAATCATTCTGTGCTTGGAGATGATAATTTTAGAATAAAATTTGCTTTAACATAACACTCACTACCAGAAATAGCGCGATTTTCTATTGAGTGTCAGAAGTAATCCGAGATTGCATTGGTTTTGCATCACTTCGTTCTGTGATTGGTCCAAAAAAACTCGTGTCACTCTCTCAGCCAATTAGATGTAAACCTAAAACCAATCACGACTTAGTTGCAAGAGTTTTCCCGCGCTTTAAGTAGTTGGGCTATTGAGTTCTCATTGGCTGTTGAAAGTACTTTCCTTTTCTTTGATTGGTCGTTGCGTTTATTTTCGTTTCGGTTTAACGACACTCAATCGAAAAGCGCTCTATATCGGTTAACTTCATTTCATTAATCAGATAGTTAAAGTAAATAACTTTTTAAATTAATTCATGGTATTAGTAGTCCGAAATGTGAGTAGGTTAAAATAATGTTAATTGTTAGGATCACACCTTTAATAATTATTTATTAATGAATAAAATAAACAATGAATCTACCTACCCGATGGTTCCCATGTGGATTTGAGGCCTCAAATTTATCACATTTTTTGAAAAGAGACTGGTTCGAGTCCTTCTGATTAAATAATATCATGTTCACTCAAAAAGTTATTTCTCTTTTGTTTTAATGGTTTAGGTCCCATAGGGGGGTTAACATTAATGTTGAAAACTTTGCCGGTTACAATTTGAAACTCCAGTTTTTTGAACGACTAGAAACGATAAGAATTTTTAAAAGAGCATTTTAAATACTAGCCACAGTAGTTTTTAACAAAGGTAAATGATGGAATTTCTTCGTTTCATGCGCAATAATTGACTTTCAGGGTCTAAAACTGAATAAATGTCATCCCATACCGGGAATGTTTATTTGCTGGTATAACTTTCAAAAGATTCCTGGAACTCATTAATTTTTCCCTAAGCCGAATATGATAACACACCAAAACATTTTGAGCAAGAAAAAAGGAGAAAAGTTTCAAACTTTCCAGTCCCAACGATTTCTCTACCAGAAAAAGACACTTAGGTCCGTGTAAAGAAAAGTCCGTAAAAGATAGGTCCTCAAAATTATAGGGCCGTAAATAAGGCCCCTTGAAAAGTCCTCAGCCACATGAGATCCTTCAGGTACTTACCTTCAGCAGTAAAACAGATAAGAGACTGCGTCTTGCCTTCTCGTTTTTTGGTACTCCTAGATCTTTTGGCGAAAGGTCCCCTCTCTCCTGTCACAGGGGCTGCTTGGAGCGAAAGGGAACGACTCGTGATGGCATGGGGGTTGCCGCTCTTCTGTGGCTGAAGTGGTTTGATGCCAGAAATACTATCACGGGAGCTGTCTCGCCGTAATGCCTCTCTTAGAATCATTTCTGAGCCTCGTCTTTGATTCAGAGGATTGATTTCAGCTACGAGTGAGTCTAGGAATGTTAAAGGAGAGTATTTAGTTTTTTTTGTTTTATTTTTTTATTTTTAATAGCAACCATTTTCGGACACTGGGTTGGTAAAGTCTGTACTCGAACCCAGTAGTGGCCCATACAGCCGGATCTTACACGGTTTCCATAGCATGAAGCGACTAGGAGTATCACTACTCCCTTCCCCTCCCCCCCCCCCCACCGTGAATGGGATGCATTCTATCCTAAGGTTACCCCTCAACATTTCATCAGGCTTCGTCGTTGGACCCTAACATTACCACTAATCAAAACTATAACAAAATTCTCGAACGTGATTGGTTATCACCAGCCCGTTTTGAGAACTAATACGACGAAAAAGTACAAGCGATGTCTAGTTTCTTTCTCAAATTTTGTCGTACTTTTTATTACCTGGTAACAGGAATTCGAGTCGTCCGATTCCGTTTGAAATAATACTCGTGATTAACAAATCTGACTCCCGCTTCGCGGTCGTCCGATTTTGATAATCACTCGTATAATTACAGACCGAATTGGACTCCTTTTAGTCCTTTACCCATCAATAATCACCCCATGCCACAAAGCTAAAATGAGGTCTTCTAAAAGTGCTACCTGTAACTACGAACCAACTAAGCCAAGCACAAATGAGGTAATTTATTAACAGCTATTAATCGTTTACACCCTAACATCAGTATTCATATTCTTCATAATGTTCTTTATACATTTCCTAAGCTGCTGAAGAGGAGAATTTGTTTACCGATCAAAAGCTTCTTTCGTGGGTGATCATTTCCTTTATTCTCATGACCTAAATGTGTGACTCAGGGGTGATATTGTACAGAGAGATTAGATTCTTGTCACTCTTATGAGTTCAAGGGTTAAACAGGATGTGTCTTCCGCGTATAATATGTTCTTGAAATATCGGGAAAAATATATATTCAAACTATTTACTGAAAATCAAGCGGTTTGGGATGCAATGTTAACCTAAAAATCATTCATGTTGCCTTATCACCAGTCTTTTTCAACGTTCTAGAGGTCATGATATTACTGAAAACACTTAGAGGAAATGCAGTTTACAGGAAAAAAAAAACTTCCTGGTTCGCAAATGCCCTTTAAGACAACAACAACAATATTCTTTATTTAACGAAGGTGACGTAATTAACCCAATGAGTTATCTAACTTACGGCTTTCACAGCAGTACAAATACATATATAAAATAATGACTTATCAGCAAAACGACTTACTACGAGAGTAACTAAAACTAGAAATTGCATGGTTTAACACAGATATGATATGATTGCAATTGCCTCCTAATACAGTTACAATAAAGAGAAAAACGAAAATCATAACCACCATTATTATCAATATACGCGGCCAAATAGAAAATCGGCTTCTTCAAAACACACGCTCAGCGGGCCGCAAAAGACTGACAGCGGGCTGCTAATGTATTATCAGCCCTACAGCTTACATGATGATTTGAAGTGACTTTGAATTCGTCATTCACTTAGCTTGTATTATTAAAACTCGCATTCTTGATATAATTTGGCCTTGTTTATTGATAATAATGATAATGACATGACTTTTTGAGGGAATATTGTTTATTTGCGCCCTTGTAGTGTCATTTCAGATGACACTACGCGGGCGCAAATAAACAATATTCCCTCAAAAAGTCATGTTATTCCCTTATTATCATCATAAACATTTGCCAATCACACCAACTTATTACAATCCCCTTACTTTGGCAATTCAAAAACATTTTTACAAAACATTACACTCACCACTCGTGCAATTTCTTTTTATGGACTTTTTCTCTGCTTTTATGGATATTGACTTCCTTGTCTCTCTTCCCGGTGCAGACTTTGCTTTTGCATTTTCAGTTGCCTTTCCACCATCTTCTACCACAGCTTCGGATCCTGCTGCATCCTTGAAGAAATTAAAATATTACTGATTAGTAAACCACTTTAATCTCCAGTTTAATAAAGAGATCGTTATAATAAAGTTACGTTCACGATTGATGCAGTGCAAGGTTCTTATTCAAGATTTTACATGTGTGAGAGCTAGCCGTTGATGACCAGCAAATTCCTCTGGTCAGCTCTATTGAGCTGGTTTCTTCTGTCGTCAACTCAAGATGAGTCTAAGAATACGATAGAGATCAAGCAAAAATTCCTAGACTCAACACCATCCACCTCAAACTTAAGTGACAACCCTGCTAAAATAACTGAGTTTGCCTTCAGCTTTCGTTCTAAAATTATTTCACAAAGCTTACACAAAAAACCTTTTTACCTAAAACCGCGGTAACAGGCGTATGATTTAAGCTCTTTTAACGATTGCATGGACTTTCACGACTTTTTTATCTTTCCCACAAACAGCAAAATGGAATACCCCTACCCAAAGCTTATCCTGGAAAAGCTTGACCCGGTCGTTTCCAATTTAAGAGTATTCCATATTTCAAACCCCTACCTCTTCCATTTCCTCATCGTCTAACAAAGATTGTAACTGTTGCTGTCTTTTCTCTTCTTGATGATATGCAATGGGGTCACACAACGCATTTGCAAAATCTGTGGAAAAAAATTGCTCATCTGTTGGTTAACAGCATCTACTTAAATAGCTTCGAACAAGCAATTCTGTTATCAGAGGCTGAAGCAAAAGTACCACAATTTCGTGCTATCAACAAAGCCTACTACAACCATTAAAAAGTTACCACTCCTTTCCATGCAATGTTTGAGTGTAAAGCGTAATGTTTAAGCTAGGATAGTCAACTGAAATGTCATAAACTTGTTCCTTCTGCACCAACTGTCTTACATACAACAACGTTCTTTTAGATGAATATAATTTTTTTTCGTCTCATCGCGAGCTTGGAAGAAAGCCAAAATATAATTTTCCAGTAAGGAATCGAATCCCTTTCGCGCTCAGATGCTTTTCCACTGAACTGCAGAGAACTCTAACGTGAGATACGCCGTTCCTGTAACACATCGGTCGAACGTCTGCGCATGTGCGAACGTTGTAATGACTTGGTAGAGTGCTTTCGGCCTGTCAGAACCAAGTTGTTTCACATTGTTCCTACTTTCGTTACCTACTACAGATTTCTATTAAAGTTTCAATTTTTCTTTTGCTTTTTTGAGTAAACAGTGGTTGTTTCTTAAGTTTTCCTTTGAAATTTTGCGCGGGAAATTGTCACGCAGCGGGGCAAAAAGTAATAAGGAATTTAGAACATACCTTCAAATCCAGATGGAACATAGTCCTTTGTAACAATGTGCACGAATAATGTGGGGAGACAAAGAGGTTGATTAGATTCATTACGTAGCTTAATATGACGATAACCTGTCAATCAAAAATATAAGATGTTTTCCTGTTAGGATAGAACAATGAACATTTCCGACAAAGTTTTTTATTAACTAATTTTGCTGTCTACGTTCTTAACTGCAACCAGTGTCTTCTCTTCATAAGGATTCAAAACATCATCACCGACTCAGAGAGCTTTTCGATTGACTGTCGTCAAACCATGACCATAGCGATCGCAACAGCCAATCAAAACAAGGAAAATATCACGGGGAGCTAATGAGAACTCGAAGTGAAAACAAGCCAACTCCCTGAAGCGCGGGAAAACGGGAGTGAAACATTGCGATAGGTTTTAGTTTAATCTGATTGGTTGAGAAAGTGGCGCAAGTTTTCTGAACTAATCACAGAGCGAAGTAAAGCAAAATCAAAACAATCCCGGATTATTTCGACACGAATTGAAAATTGCTGTATTACTTGACTCGTCACAGTTAGAGGAATGCTTTCAGTTCACAGAGATTGAAATATAATAATTTTATTCAAGTATCAATTTACTCAGAAATTCACCTGGACTAAGACCCACTACTGGAAGTATTCTTTGGCCGATGAGTTTCCCGCTTTCTTCATATAATGCTATTCTTAAAACTGCTAGGCTGGGTAGAACAACCTGGAAGATAAACAAAGAGTGAACCACTTTGTCGTTGGGACTTTCCAAAAGGGAAGAATATCACTTTTAACTCTTTAACTCCCAAGATCTGATTGTTAATTCTCCTCTCTAGCTGATACACATTTCCTTGTAAATTGGTTACGAGAATTTGGTGTTCAAGCAAGGTAATATCCAGTACCTGATGAGTTTGAGTATTCCCACGATTTGTTTGCTGGATAATGTATGAATATTATAGGGAGAAGTTACATGTTAACTGCACTTCTGGGAGTTAAAGAGTTAACAAATAGATTCCATGTTACCGTGAATCTGTTCGGTTAAAGATCACAGATGACGTCAAATCTGGATAAGAACAAGAAGGTGACACTTGATACGCAGCCGATTGTGTCACTGAAAAGAGAGTCCCCTATACTTTTACGTGAAGCGTGATTTGGCGATTTTTTACCTCGTGAATCGTGATTTGATTTTTTCCTCATTTGTGAATCGTGATTAAAGATATTAAGATCTTTTTGTGTCCACGTGAACTGATTTTTTAACTTAAACGTGACTCGTGAATGAAGAACTGAATTAAACGTGATCCGTGAACCATTTTGTTTTGCGTGATGAATTCCCGGCTTTTTAATGAGTTGAAACGTATTGTTCTCGAACGGTTGTGGTTAAGTTTTGACCAGGGTTTTGACAGGACGTGAACTTCATATAGATCGATAAAAGTCATAAACAAGATAGCTAATGGTCCTCGAACAAATAAGATAAGACATCATGTCATCACTTGTCGCATCAGACTGGTCAAGACTAGGAATGGTAAAAATTAAATTCGTGAATTTGGTTTCTTATTTTTATGCGAAGGTCTCAAATTTCGCGTGAACATGAAAGAATTTTTGATATAATTCGCGATGCGTGAAAAGCCAAATAATTTTAAGTAACTGAATTTTACAAAGGGGTGTAAGGCACCCTCAGAAAACCTAACGAAAATAATTCACCTTCTTAAACACAAAAGGTTCTTCATCATAAACTGGGTTGATAGTGTTATTTGGCACTATCTTAGTCTTGTACTTTCTTCTGACAGTGTCCGCTGGTAAGCCATACATATCTACTTCAACATATGTGCCAACTTTCTTTTCTGTGAGCCACTGCCCAGAGATAACCTGAAATGAAAGAAAAAAAACGTGAGTCTGATTCAGAATCATATGCCATGCGCAGTCTTTTTCAAGCACATAGGTCAGATGCCCCCATTGCCTCTCAATCTTTTAGTGACAAAAAGCCAAATTCACTGCTATGGTACCAGAACAGCCAGTGACTGTTGATCGAATTTGCGTCGTACAAATTCCAAACAATTTACAATTCTCTACAAAGGACTCTCTTTTACTAATTCGTTCGTCAAATAAAGATGAAAATGCTTAGCCGCACATTTGCAGCTTTTATTCTTTTTTTAATATAATTTTGTAAAGGAGGTGGCCTGCCCCCATAAGCCCAGTGGCTTCCTGGGTCTTCTCGCCTTCTGTAAATTTACAATTCTCTACAAAGGTTCTAAAATTTGGAACTCTCTTTCTACTACAGCCTCTCGTTCGTCAAATCTTCTTGCTTTAAGATGAAAATGCAAGAATATTTTAGTTTAAAGATCACTGAATTGGCCGAGCCGCACATTTGCAGCTTTTATTCTTTTTTTAATATAATTTTGTAAGGGAGGTGGCCTTCCCCCATAAGCCCAGTGGCTTTCTGGGTCTTCTCGCCTTCTATAAATTATAATTCTGTATAAATTTTTCTCTATATTGTTTAAAAGGCCAATAAAATTATGAAGATGATGGTGAAGGTTTGCCTGGATAAGCACCCAGCAACAGAAGTTATGGGAACCGGAATCCGGATCAATATCAGTATCTGGGCAACTGCCCACCTACCCCACCCCTAACTCAACATTAACCTTACCTTGTTGTCAATTGACTGTTGTTGAGTAAGGGGAGGGGTAGGTGAGCAGTTGTCCAGATACTGATATTGATCCCGGAATCCGCTCTGACCCTTTAAATTCCCTGCTAACCCATTTCCTTGTAAATTTAGTTATGAGAATTTTGTGTTGGATCAAGTTAACAACCTCTACCTGATAAGTTTTAATATTTTCATCACCTGTTTGCTGGATAATGTAAGGATATTATAGGGAGAAGTTTCGTGTTGATCACTTCTGGGAGTTAAAGGACCAATCTTCTTTATCCTCTAAAATCCTCTTTTCGTCTTGGTTTAAAATTACCACTTTCACATTCATGAAAGAGGCAATATTCCTCCTCTAGTCGAAGGTAGTTTTGCAGGCAGCAAAAAATTACTCAAAATTTTGATTCTTTTCCTTCAGGGGAACCTGAGTCTAAATTTCTAAGGTCACTGCACAACGCTATATCCCAATGGATGCCCTATGAATGAAATTTAACTAACATTTTGCTTGAGAAGATCTGAATTGCCTCAAGGCCTTTCTGCTGTTCCTTACCCTAACAGTGACTGCACCAGCAATAATCCCATCCACTGTTGACTCAGCAAATGGGTCAAATGATTTATCAGCCCGACACATAAAGCTGGGCTTTAATATGTACCTTTAAGAGTGACAACATAAAACAAACTGACAATTAACAAAACTTGACTCATCACATTAAGTGAAATCCAGAATGCACATTCGTCTACGTTTAGCGAAATTAAATGGGACTGTGTGTATTCGATTAAGACAAAATATCTTCTTCCCAAATCCTTAATCCAATTCACCAATCTCAACTTACCCACAACGGCCATTGTACTCAAAGATTCCTTGATTCAACATCATGGGTAAGTCTGTCGAAGAAACCAAGAAATAAATTTCTTACATTTCAAAAGAATGTTCCTAACAAACAAATTCATGTGCCAAGTTTCTCTTGCTTTATTCTCGTTGTCATCCTAGACTCGAGACTGATACTTTAGCAAAGTACCATTTGTCACAATCTCCTGCTTAACAATGGCAATGGCAATCAAGAAAATGCAAACGCCTTCTGCACTTTGAAATGCAAATTACTAAACATGGTTACAAGAAAACTTGAGTTTAGGAACTATGAAACTTCTTGCACCTAAGTTAATGATGTTAGTCATTTATATAAACCGGGATCTACACAAAAAAATTGGAAAACATTTTCTATAATGTTTTTGTTGTTTGCTTGTGACCAAGGTCTCGGGGAGAAAAGGAAATTCAACTCACCTAAAGTTTGATAATTAAGAGCAACTAACTGACATCCTGCATTCCAAAAAATCTGCACATGAAAAAAATCAAAGAAACAGGAACATTTGAGAACCAAGTTCTACCATAAAATGACATTGAAATTAGCAGCTACTGGAAAAAACAAAATTGTCTGGTTTAATCTGCTGAGTTGACGTTTTTAGTGTTAGCCCTTCTCCGTTATTACGGACTCTTGCTATTACGGAAATGCGGACACTTTCATGCCCCTCCCGCGCAACATTTCAATTGTTTGTTCTTTCGCTATGGCGGACACTTTAGTACTTCGTCCAAAATCCTCACTCATATAATATAAAGCGACATTACAATAAAGTAAAATAAAGAAACCATTCTTCAATCGTGTGCGAACATGAGAATTTCCTGCTTGAGGCCGGATCTTTTTTTCCGGTTCGTGAGGCCACGTTGGAAACTTTATGTTTGCGTATGGACATATTATTTCATATGTTAGAGACAGAACAATTCAATTTTTTGTCGTACCCCGCTATTACAAACTCTCGCTATTACGGACATTACATCTCTTCCCCCCTCCCCGCCACCCCGATAGTGTCCGCAATAACGGGAGTCGACTGTAGATAGAAGAATATGCTTTATTTTTATTTACCTGGGGCATGTAATTTGCTGATCCAACTCTTGTGCCACTGGGATAAATTCTACTCAACTGACGCTTATTGTAACTGGTTGAAGTTAAGAAGAACACTGTTTTAAAGGAAACCTTACAAATAAACTGGCAAATTATTCATTAAATCCGATTAAATTATCATTCAGTAATGTTTATTAAAGGATACTTGACAAATTCCACTGGGCTTTCTTTGAGTAGGGCTGTTGCATTATTCTCCACAAAAGAGGACATCTCATAACTTCTGTTCAGCTCTGCAAAATGGATTAAAAAAATGTCATTTGACAAAATTTGAAAGTCAGATCTTTTTCCAAGTTTCTTTGTTCCTTAGAGACCAGTCAATATTTAGGCTTGGGGGGAAGGAGAGGGGAGGGGCCAAGTATTTTGAGGGGATCACATAGTTTTCAGGAGGAACAGAGGGGGGGATCAGTTGTCACTAACAGAGTATGGGGCTATAGAAAATTGACTGCCGATGGAGGGGGCGTGTCTCAGAGCCTTATGGGAGGAATCAGGTAAATTTTACTGTAATACAAACAGATCCATAAACCACCCCTTCCCTCCCCTCGCTACTAAGCCATGAACGTTACTAGCTTAAAACTGTCCTTGTTCAACTTGTAAAAAGTGTACTCACTTTCAGAAGTCTCAAAGCTCTTAAAATGGACGGGCTGGATGTAATTCACAAGAGCAGAAAGTTCAACCTCTGGGGCAACCTCCTCTTGATCTGCCTGCGTTAATTTCAAAGAGGAAATCAAACGTCAAATCAATATATTTAGGAAAAGCCCACGTATAGCAACCCCATTAAACTAGAACCCCTTCAGGAAAAAAAAAGACGGCTTAATGCATGTGCAGTTTAAGTCTGTATTTAACCTTTCAAACCTTAAGAGTGACTAGAATCTAATTTCTCCTTACAATGTCACCCCTGAATCACACATTACAGTCATGAGAATTGAGAAAATGGTCACCAGGGAAGAAACCTTTTGATTTTTAAACTTAGGAAATGTATGCATGGAGAATATGCATACTGATGTTAGGGTGTAAAGGGTTAAGCCAAGTGACCCATCCAGCCACAGCTTATTCTGGTTTCCATTTAGCATGAAACGACTTGGAGCGTTACTGTCCCCCCCCCCTCCCCTGGATGAGACGTCAGTCCATCCCAAGGTTACCCCCCCTGTATTTAATCACGCATCTCTGAAAATTCGCCATTTATACCCTCGGGTGGAGAGAAACACTGTGAGAGTAAGGTATTTTGTATAATTTTCAAGTTTGTTTTTTTTACTCAATTTGTATTTTCATCTCTGAATGCTTTTTTCCATTCTTAGGAATATTCATTGTTGATTGTATTTATTGTGCAATTACACATTTTGAATCTACGTCTGGTGTTAAATCAGTACCTTTTGGAACACAATTTTGCTCTAAGGAGATCTACTCACTTTGCTGACATCCTCCTCGTTAATAACACTGCCTCCGTTCTCAGTTATCTCTCCATCAACTTTTTCCACCTTTGTGTCACTGCTGATCACTGCAGTGGTGTCTATGGGGGTCTTTTCGACATCCACACCTACTGCAATAAAGATACCAGAAACTGTGTTACAGTACGAACTGAAGGAAGCATTTTGTAAGCTATGCTAATAGGTCTGAAAGGCATCCAATTCGGTCTCTAATCAATACGAATGATAAGCAAATTGGACTCCCGCTGTCCGATCGTGCGATTGTGTTATCATGAGTATGATTACACACCGAGTTGGACGATACAAAGTCTTATTACCAATTAATCTTAATCATTACCATTTCCGAGAAAAAGAGAATAGCCAAGTTATGAAAGAAAGGAAAAATTTGCACCGAAAGACTGACGAAGTCCGATTGGTTGATTCAAACTACAACTATGAATGTAATTGGTTGACTTAAACTACAACTTTGAATGTGATTGGCTTATTGAATTTTCCAATAACAAACTGTCCGGTAACAACTCGGCAAGTGAATTAGTGGAAAATATGAGTTTTTTTTTTTAACCAATCACCATCTAGGAAATTGTAATTTTTATGGTTAACACCAATATCACCTCTCATTCCCTGGAGAAATATTTTAATTTTAAGCATCCCAGAACAGTTAAATTGCTTATGATGTTCCACTGAATGAATATAAAATACCTCACAGATTTATTACTTAAAATAATTGATGCAAATTTAACCAAAAGTGCACACTTCAGTGTAGAAATGCAAAATATCTGAGGTTACCTTCCTCACGTTTTGATGGCCTTTTCTTGTTTTTAATCACAATCTTTCTTAACAGTGCTTTTGGAGGTGGAAGGCCTTTTCCTTCTTCTAACTGTGAATCACACAAAAAGAAACAGAGATGTGAGATGAGCAATATTTCCCAATAAAACCGTCTATATGCAGCACTACTGTGGTTTAGTTACCGACAGAAATCATCAACAAGAAATACAAAAGACAAATCTGAAAAGCTTAATTTGAAAAGATTCTACCATAAACCAAAAGGGGTGCTCATAACAGAGCAGATATTGGAGAATTTTTCTTAAGCTGTACAGAATTCTCCTGCTGATTTTTGAAGATGTAGCCTACTTCATAATTGGCTTTCTCCGAAAACTTTCTTATCAATTTACAGAGGAAGTCACTGTCCCTAGAAAATTACACTGCAAACCAAAAATAAACTAGGACACACTTACTGGGAAATCATCTAAGGGTTTGTTGAGAAGCATATCAGCAAAGATGCTGACACAGTATGCTGCCATCTTAGCTTGCTGCTTAGGGCTGAAAGAATCAAGAAAGTATGGATATCTTACACAGATATAGATGATAAGCAGTGTTAAATGACTTTCAAGTCTACTTCAAGGGAAATACCTGGCTGAGCTCAAGTTAAAAATTTTCTTCTACATAACATCAGTTTTGATCACTTTAAAAAACAAGCAATGATCTAGATAAGAAGCTGGCTTAGCATTCATTTTACCTGCAATGATTCTCAAAGGAAAGAATAACAGGGTATTCTGATGTCTTGAAGGCACATTCTGCAATTGCTTCTATCACATCCTGTTATAAAAAAGATGAAAAACAGCATGATTTCAGGTATTTCTCATACAGGTGTGATAAAACCAAAATTACACAACAGAAACAAGCAAGCAAAACATTGAAAGAAGGACCTCTTCATTCATGCCAATACAGTAATCCCTCTTAATAACAACAATAATGAAAAAATAATAATAATTATAATGGGTCTCTAGCATTGGACTTTCCATGAGGTAACTCTCCATGTCCACTGTTTCCAGGTAAAACTGGAATTTTAGTTTTTCTGGTGGAAGGAAAACCAGTGGACCCAAAGATAAACCTTTGAAGTACAGGCAAGAACTGATGACAAACTCAACCCAGGCCAGAGGGGTGCAAGGCTAGCACTCTCATCACTGGGCCTTCCCTTCCCTATTTCCATCTGTGCTTTTTTGGTTTCCTCCATTCTTTGTTTATGGAAGTAGCTTGGCCAGAGGGGTTAGGGGACTGGACTTGTCCCTTTAACCTCTTTATTCCCAGGAGTGATAAAAAAGAATGTTCTCCTTACTTTATCAATACATTATCAAAAGGAAAGAAAATAAGAAATGGAAGGGGGGGGGGGTATGTGAGGAGAATTGAGATACTGATAGTGAAAGTCCTTAAGTCTGTTTAGCAAACCTTAAATGAGATCTGTGTACACATTGTCATTCCATGGGTGATAACAGGTTCTTGATCTTGGTCTTTTCCATCCCAACAGTCCAATTCTATACAACGGCATCCAGCCAATAGCGCTTGTCTGTACATTTCTACTGATGATTTCCCAGTCAACTGGTGACCTAAGAAAAAAATTTCAAATTCTCTATGATCTAGAGTCTAGTCCTAGTATTGTGCAAGGTAGTGATAATAATTCAGGCAAACTAATTTAGGTATTGGTCAGTCTAAACTTGAGCCTAGTGGCCCAACCAGGTGGAGCTAGTCCCAGGTTCCCTGGATGGGATGCAAGTTCATCACAAGGTTGCCCCCCCAGCATTTCGTCAGGCTTCCCTCACAATTTTCCAAAGCTCTATGGTCCATAGTAAAGTGTTTTTGCCCAAGAACACAACACAATAGCCTGCATAGGTCTTGAACCCAGACCTCTCCTCCCGCAGTCCACCGCACTAACCATTGGCCACCTGTGCACATCTCCCCTTGTCATTGAAAGGTGCATTCACCAAATTGAACAAAGTAATATCCAAAAGGTGTAAAATGTCAAATAAGTTGCTTAGGTTAATTAGCAAGTGAGGATATATTTCAGAGCAGTTTTTAATCACCTGTTAGATATGTGTTGTGTGATGAATTAATGAAATAATGTGATAGGGGCTGTGTCATGTCTTGATAACATGACAAGCGATCATGGTTGATGATGAAATTGTCATCGCTCATAAGATATCTTGTGAGTCCTTGAACAGAAAAGTGGCCTAAAAAAAGAAAAACATTTCTTCCATTAAACTACAAATTCCTGCCAAAACAGAGAATCAACATGGATGAGCACAAGAAAATGTCATTAGATAGCTTTCAACATAAAGGTACAGTGCATCAAACTGCAACCATTTTCATTCCCTTGGCAACTAAAATAATTTTGCAGCAAGAGTCGTGGGAGGTCATTTGAATTAGTGCCATGTCTTAAGCAGTCATGTAAAAGGCTGTAACATTTTAATTCCAAGGTGGCTGGTCAGACAAAACACCAAAAAAATTAAACTACTACTGAGATCTTTTGGAAGACACTCTGACACTCTATCACCTATACTTCATTGGATGGGGGAAAAATCTCACTCACAATGTATGACTAATTAACAAAGGTTAAAAGCTACCAGGGTGTGAAAACTAAGCTATGCAAAAACAAAAGCCATGAACAAAGACAATTAACTACTGTAATTACTTCTTTGCAATTAATAATCATTGTGTTTGTTTTTCTAAGGCACTACACTTAGTCTTTTCAACAGTGCCAATACTCTAAAGTTTCTGTGAGGCAAACATTTGCATAAATCATTTACTAGGTACTCATGATTCAAAAACTTAATACAAAGTTGAAGGTTACTCGACTATGAATTTGACTAAATGGAAAGTGCTTGCACTACTTTTATTGGTAAAATTCAATTTTCTCAGGCACCAATAATCATTTCAAAATAAAGTGTGCAACTGTCAGATTACTGCCTATTACAACTTACCCTTCTTTGCAAAGTCTCTGTTTGGTTCATATTTGTCAATTATAGCTTGAGCTTTTTCACTTGTGCAGTAAGGAAAAAGGATTTCATTTAGGCGAGGGTCTCTTTGTTCATTGTTGAGAAACTCCACAAGTTGGTCCACTGTCAGGTATGGCTTCTTCTTTGCACCACTGAGTCAATAAATGCACATGTAAGTACAGAAACAAGTCTCACTCACACCTTAACCCTTTTCACCTAACATCAGTATGCATATTCTCCTTACTGTTCTTCACACATTTCCTAAGGTGCTGACAAGGAGAATTTGTTTAACAATCAAGAGCTTCTTCAGTTAGTGATCCTTTCCTTTATTCCGTGACCTTTATGTGTGATTCAGTGATGTTGTAAGAAGAACTCAGATGCTTGTCAAAGGATTAAGGAGATGTGTGCTCAGGAAAACCAATTTTTTTTCCCTCTACAATTAAAATGTACTATATGAAACTAAATGACACTGACTGTGATTGAGATACTAAAGGGTAGCCCAACCTTGTGAAATTAACCAATTAGCCGATACTCCCAAACTAGTGAGTGGTTCTAAGCAAATTACATGTATGCACATTCATTTTTATCATAAATTTTATTTTATCTCTATTAAACTCATAATCTACAATGAGTGGCAAAAGTAGCTGGCACGTCTCTCTTAGCTGGTGGGTGGTCAACAATCCTCTACTCAACATAACACATAGAAACCTTGCAATTCATCCCTAATAAGCTACTTAAAAGTTACCCCTTTTCTCACCAAAAAATGCTGCAAAAACTTTTGCAAGAAATTAGTGATCCTTTGGCTAACACTAGGCAACATTGAAATGGGAGATGTGAGGAGATTGATGAAAGTTAGAGCAAAAACAAAAATTAGTAATTATAATATATTGTGCCAAGGCTTTTGCTTCTCATAGTACATAATGAGATGTTGTAAGAAAGCTGAATAGATGTAAATGCTATTAATAATTCAATTATTATACCAAGGTTTTCAGACTTACATTTCGGCAAAGATTTTGTCAATGTCTTTTCTGTCACATAGTCTGCTGTAGAATGCCCAGAATTCTTCAAAACTAAATTTATCAGGGGCAATAGTATCATTCTGAGAGAGAAGCAAAGCAATGCAGAAAAAAAAGAACAAAAGAAATTAGATTAAAACAAAAATTTAGTATAATCATTTATTAGGAAGTATGATTTTTATTATGATAAAAATTGAAAAAAAAAACAGCTACCATTTTCTATGAAAAACTGAAAATTGCTCTAATAGTGAGTTTTACAGCTGCTAAATAATGTGAAGAGACATTAAATTGCAAATCAATGACACAACTCACTTTTCCATGAGGCAAACCCACAGACTGAAGAGTATCCAGCACTCTTTTTTTATCTTCTTTGCTGGAACTCACATATTTTAAAATACTGCAATTTAAAATGAAACACAGTCAATTCAAACATTCCTAATTTATTTTTTTCTGTATCCTCTTCACTTGTCCACTTGATACTGTATTCACACGAAGTTTCTCTGACAACTGGCCCTTTGTCTCCTATTGATGTTAACCATTTAACTTCCAAGATCTGATTGTTAATTCTCTCCTCTAGTTGCTACACATTTCCTTGTCAATTAGTTATGAGAATTTGTTGTTAAATCAAGATAACAACTTCCACCAGATACATTAATTGAGTATTCTCATTACCTGTTTGCAGGATAGTGCATGGATATTTTAGGGAGAAGTTACTTGTTAATCACTTCTAGGAGTTAAAAGGGTGAAGAAACCTAACATGCAATCACTTTTCCTTTGACTTACTAGAGCGGTAACCAGACATTTTGCACAAAAGACTTTTTGCACAAGTCTTTTAGCAAAAGTTTTGGGCTGTTCGCACAATTCTTAGTGGTCATTTCGCACAATAATCATAAGTAAGAAACAATATAAAAGTTTTACTGATTGATACTGATAAGACATTTCACCTTCACAAGATCCAACGGCGAGAATGTAGACATTTATTTAGGTAATAACTTCAACTAGATCAAAATGCTCGTGAACACGATCACTATTTTTACTTGAAGAAAGGAAAGGTACAAATCCGTCCTGTATTCACTAGAGCATGCTGCCTACTGTAGAGGGACTTACTTTTTTACAGGGATTTTTCCATCTCCACTTGTTTGGACACATATTTTAGAGTGGCTGTAAATCAAAATGAAATAAAAGAGATAAAAGAAGTATTTGTCAATTTTTAAGTGAAATTTGTTTTGGATGAGCATTGCCCTAAACAAAATATAAAACCAAAACAAAAAATGATCAAAATCCCATAGGAAAAAAATCAAAACTCTTAACATTTAGTAAATAACTATTCAAATACCATATTGTTGGTCATTAATGCTATTATTACTAACATTTTCATCACTCATAAACACCTGCAAGCCTGAGAACACTTCTCTCAGACTCTTACAAATTTCTAAGGAAAAAACTTCATTCCAGAATTGTGGACAATCATCTTGGCAGACCCTTTTTTTTCCCAAAAAAATTTAACATTTTATGCAATTATTTCTAAACATTTTTATCTAGTTGTTATAACAGTGACGATCAAATTAGTAAAATGAGGATAGTGTAAAACATAGCTTTCAGATATAAACTGTTGCAGGAGAAGACCATGAGCATTGCTACTCCTTCATGAAGGATTTCTATAATATGTACTTATCGACTGAGTGGGAGGGCTGTGTGGAAATATTTTTGGTTTGACATCATGGCAGAGAGCCAAATATTTTCCTGTTAGGCCTGGCAAGAACCAGTCAATAAGCATTTTATTACATGACCATTGGGCTTCCCTTGTTTTTCCTATTCATTTTAGCTCACATCTGATGGGCCATTTTGCTTTTTCAGGCCCCACTTGCGCCATTGCCTTCGGCCATCTTACAGGGAATTTCATCTAATGCTTTTTAATAAAAGCTTTTGCTGAGCCTTAAATGTCAACATTGAATTTTTGCCAAGTTTGTCTGGTACCAACTTGCACTCTTAGGATGGAGAGGGTGGGGAGATTTAATTTCCTTGTCAATGAAAACAAAACGATAACCTAGCCAAGGTTTAAACCATGTGTTCCACAAATTATATTTACTGACAGCTGTCACTCAAAATTACTCTTGAATCAATTTGTGGACTTACAGTTTTTCAAGGAAGGAGATAGGTGAAGCATTTATGGCCAAGAGATTGTGTGTTAAGCAAAACAAAGCATCTGCCCATTCACGTGCAGTGTTCACAGATCCAGGAGCAACAAAGTTCACATAGTAGATATCTACTAAAGTTGACCCATACACAATTGTAATAGTCTTGTCTTGTATGGAGTCTTCTTCCGATCCGCCAATTTTTAAAGAGTCTCGCAAGCTTTTATCCTGTAAATAAAAAATAAAAAAGATTACTCATAGATCCTGGGATTCCATGTTCAAATCTAGACATGAATTATGGTACTATCAATCAAACAACAAAACTTCATAGCCAATGAGTAACTAACCAGGGACCCTTGGCAAGTAGCAAAAAATTCATGCTAACCCTAAGCATTACACCTAACCTAATATCGATATGCATTTTCTTCATACTGTTTTCTATTCACTCCTTAAGGGGGATGACTGGGAGAATTTGTTTGGCAGTAATGCAGAAGTTCTTTATTTGGTGATCATTTCCTTTACTCTTGCAACCTTTAAGTATTCAATTCAGGGGTGATTAGCTAAATTTTATATTTTCAAATATTATCAAACAAAAATGCTTTCACTTCATGATTTAGTAGTAGAATGTTTACATTAAGTAAACACAGTTCTTTAAACACTCTCTTGATAAAGGTTTGCTGAGCCTATCACATACATGTACTGTACCTATAGGGTAAATCCTGCATGACTTAACATTTGCAGAAAATAAGTGAAAAAAAAAATATTATTTTAATTGTAAGTTTGTATTTAATTATTTTCTTAAATTACAACCAACTGAAGGTAAAAATGTAGGTAGCACAAGACTGTGCTCTCAGAGAAATTATGAAATCCAGGGTGCATGCCTAGTGAATGCCTTTTATGAAAAAACTAAGATCCCCCAGTTGCAAATTACAGAAAGGTGCCAAGGGCTACTGAATGCTGCTAGAGCACAGCTGTGTAAGACCTGACAGCTTCCCACGTTGAAAGTGTTTTCACATTGAAAGTGTTTTGGTCCCTATTCATTGCAAATATCAGAAAAACATTTTGGCTACTAAATTTGCTACAAACTTAGAAAACTTGGCAACCAGCATTCTGTGATCATGTTAGTGTTCTCATAAAGTAAGATGGACATTTGAAAGAAAATTATCTACTTTGCCACACAAAATATTATTTTTCAGTCCACCTGCTAAAAATTTTACTTTCCGGTGCTGATAAAATGATTTTAACCCTTCCACTCCCAGGAGTGACTAAATTGAATGAGCATTTTTTCAATACATTATAAATCCATTATCAACCAGACAGGTAATGAGAAGATGGTAAATTATCAACAGGGGGATATTGTTAGACTTAACACCAAATTCTCAAAGCTACAATAAATTATACGAAGGGTATTGATGTCAGAGATGAGAATTGATCATGAGATCTTGGGAGTGACAAGGTTAACCCTTAACCTCCCAAGATCTGATTGTCAATTCTCCCCTCTAGCTGCTACATATTTCCTCGTAAATTATTCATGGGAATTTGTGTTAAATCCAGTTATCAACATCTGTCTGATAAGTCTATATATTTTAGGGAGAATGTACATGTTAAGCACTTCTAGCAGTTTTAACCCTTTCACAAGGATTAAGTTTCCAAATGTTGAAGTTGACAGAAGAGCCTTGCTTATTCCGCAATGTTCTCAAACTGTGGGTGGTTCTGGTTGGCTTAATTTCTGTCAAAACCATTATGTCTCACAAAGAAATTTCCTGTTTGTAAATTCTTTGCTTTAAGGCAATTACTGACACAATAAACTGATGATAGCGGAATTTGTTTTTTTTCTTCTGATTGTCTTATACTAAAAACAGAACAGTGTCCTGTGGATAAACTAAGAAAACAAAGACAAAAGAGTTTTGCAAAACCTGACTCCAAAGTTTAGCTATTAGTGGCTAAAACAGTTAAAATGGATATTAGCAAAATTAATTTGCATTCAGTTCAAAACGGAAAAATTGTAAGTTGATAATTGCAAAAGCCATCTTTTAATCATAAGGGAACTAATGGAGATACTTACTAGTTAATTTTAGAAATAACGTTTGCATGTGCATAAGAAATACCATAAGGTCAATAATCCGATTAGGTTTAGCTTCTATCATCAAGATTAAGGTTTTTGAGAAAAACATGAAATTATTCTGAAAGGTATTTTGACAGATTCCTTTTACATGTTAATTAACACTTCAAAATCCTGAACAACAACATTTCAGAATTAGGTGTCCCTTGGGGCACAAAATTTATAAAACAGTTTCGACAAAAACATGTTTGTAGGATTATGATTGATAAGTAACAGCCAGACTGTTTTCTTTGTTCTTTTGATACATGTATATAGAACTCTCTAGTTGGGATTAAGAATTGTTTTACTCTGAAATAAATTCCAGTGTTTCATGGAAGATAATGTTTTCTATGGATGACTGATCATGTTTAAGACAAACAAAATATTTTGCTTGTGTGCAGTGATAAAGAAAGAGCCCTGCAGTCAGGTTTCTTACTTAGAAGAAATATCAGTTTTTGTAAGATGCTGTAAGAAGAGCAACTGAATTCTTGACAGGATTTGCTTAACTTTAGTTGTGGAGTGTATAGAAATTTATACATTCCACAACTACAAAAACCACAATTGTATTTACATGGTTCACAGTTAACACTTACAATAACAAAGATGTATCTCATACAGCACCCTTTGAAAAATTGGTAGAAAAAAAGTCTATGTTGCACTTGAGGTAAAAAAATATAGGCTGAGATTGCTAACAAGTTCAAATCTCTAAAAAATGAGAAGCATTTTACTTTCAAATTTAATTCATTATACATGCTAGGAGGTAAATGTTTCATTAACAAACAGTTAAACTAGTAATCTTTTCTAGGATGGTTTGGCTTAGACATGCACTTGTTATGGAGTATAATGATTTGTCTGATGCGGATTGCATCTTTTTAATCGCATATTACCAGTGTGGACAGAAATTTAACTTGTTTGAATAATTTGAAAAAAAAATTACCCGTTAGCTTTCTATAATAATTCTAAACCTTTAACCCCCAGGAGTTGCCAGCTGACTCAGGCCATTATCAAAATAATTTCAAAATAATTAATAATAATAATAACAATAATAACCATAACAATGACAACTTAGCAGTGGACATTCCACTAGCTGGCTGATCTTGTCTCCTGTTTCCAGCTCAAATTGGAATTTTGAATGTTGCTTTTGTAGAGAGAGGAAAACTGGAGGACCAGAGAAAAGCCCTTGAAGCAAGGACGACTGAGAACCAACAACAAAATCAAACTTCATGCGATGACGCAGGACCAGGAATACAACCTGGGCCACAGTGGTGGGAGGTGAGCACCCCTGCCACTATACCATCCTGCTTCCGAAAGAAAAATGAAGTGAGACTCCAGCAGAAGTCTTGGTTTTCAGCCCCCACCCAAAGTGGTGGGATGGTGTGTGGTGTTAATCATCACTAGTTTCCATTTTTCACCTTATTAACTTAGAGGGGAAAGCAAGTTAAGTTCAGTAGAGCAAAAGCAATATAGTCACTGATTACTTCTAAAGCAGTTTTTGCTAGAGTTTTGTAAAACTAAATTGAATTTAAGCAATCACAACAGCCAATCACAGCAAACATTGACATCATAAAGAGCCAATAAAACTCCAAGTTAACCCTTCAACTCCCAGGAGTGACCAAGACAGAATTTCTCCTTACAAAATCAATATGAAGTAAAAAAGAGATGTGATTAGAATAAAGAGAAATATTAGTTGGGCAATTGTTAGTTGATCCAATACCAAATTCTCTGGACTAACATCATAAGAACTGTATAGCGGACAGTAACGAGAATTACTTGTGAGATCTGGGAGTGAAAGAGTTAAGACAGGCAACCTGCTTGTGGCACGGGAAAATGCAGGTGTCCACATCAGGATTGGTGTTAGTTTTGAAACTAATTGGTGGAGTAAGAGTTTTCTGTACATATCACAAAGCAAGGTTATGCAAACCAAAAGCAATCCTGGATTGCTAATTCAATACCACATCTCCTTGGTATAAGGTTTAAAACTACTTAAACCTATGTCATTGAACTGCCCTGAAATTGGCCAAACATATAATTCAAAAAGCCATATTTGGTGTTACAGGCTATGTTCTTAAAGAAAGTCTAACATCACAGATCTGCCTCCTCACACATGCTCGTAAAAGTTCAAATGAAAAAATTTTATCATTTTAATTCACTGAGAATAATTTAAGTATTACAGTATACAGTACAAAAGAAAATAATAGGAATGGTAGAAGGCTTGCCAAAGTGCTTTGAATAAAATTAATTTGTAAATTGGAAAATACACTGTCAGAAAATACTCTGGGACTACACAGGTCCTAATAAAGTACGCTTTCAAGTAAACTTTCTTGTTGCAAAGGGTTAAAAGATAAGCCAGCATTCATTGCACTGCTTATTAAATATTCGATCTGTGCCAACACCAGTACAGAAATATGATTTGAAATATACTTGAAAAGTAATTCTCATTTTACTAAGAATTGGATGACAGCTTGGAGGGAACTTGTGTGATTCACCTCATGTGTAGCATTTAACTTTTAGCAGGTTTATCTTAGTGGGGTTTGATTTTTGCTTTCTTGTGGCAAGCCTTGAAACCAAGAAAATGAAATATTCATATTTCACAAAAGTCACACCTTAAGTCTTCATTTAAAATAAAATGCTTCATTGATCAGAAAAAAGATAGACCTTGTAATTAAAACCATTAGTGGTAGCAACCCCTACATGCAATCAAGAACTAGTTTGATATTTTCTAGAATTTTGTTAATAGGATGCCTTTCAGGAATAAGAGCATGTTGCGTCCTTTGAAAATAAAGGTGTCTTCCCTGGGGCTAATGTCATGTAAAAATGGCTCATTACAACTTCTCATTAAGAACAGAACTTTTAAACTGCATAGCCTTTCTTGATGTTCAAAAGATAAACATTTCATGCTGTGAGTGTTATAATAATATTTGTTATCCATGGTTTTCCAAAAATGTAAAGAAACACACGTTTAGCTCAATTTAATGTTCCTTGCCTTTCACAGTAGAACTTGTGCAGATATTTATACAAATATATTTTCTGAAATGTAACCAAATTAAAGGCATTGACGTCCTTTAATATCCCTTAAAATGGACCTAGCAATTTGCATATATATTGGGCAAACAAGATTTAAATATTTTGCTAGACAACAAATAATAAAGCACTTATCTGTAAGGTCAAGCTAGCTGGCCACTTAAAAATCAAAAATTTTTACTGTAACAACCGGAAAAATAAAACTATTTTTAGGTATAAGTTGCTCTGCGATCGTTTCATTGCCTTAGCTGAGGAACACGTTTCATTAATCCAAAATCAAGTCTTCAAACACATTTCAATTAAGCTAAAACTTGCAAATCATGTGGAGTTTTGGAATATTCCAAAAATAATGAGCGGGTTGTTACATTTAATAAAACTATTCGGGCGTAACAGCTTTGAACTTGTAATTTTAACAGTTTCCACCATTTGAAAAGGCTGCAAGAATTATTTTTTGATAGTTCCGTCAAGATCTATTGCTAGGCGACAAAAACAAAGGCCATCCGTAAATAATTAAAAGACTGCCTGTCTGTATTTTGTTTAACACAAAAACCTGGATTCTAGAAACAAACTATATCTTGAGTCAAAACAAAAATTACTCACGACGAAAACATCACATCGGAAAACACAGTTTCCATTTGAAACCGCGTTTATGTTCGACTTAGGCGAACAAAAAGATTTTAATCAATGGATTAAGGCTTTGTATATGCGACAAAAACTACAAAGATTGAAGTGAAACCCTTCTGCGGTAGGGAAATATATGTGCAAACTGCAAAGGCTAAAAATTTGAAATTCTAATGGGCGAATAAAAAGTTGAAATTAGCATTTAAAGAATTTTCTTACAAGTGCAAGGACTCGCGGAAAGATATTGACGTAGACGAACGAGAGAGGAATTATTGTTTATTTACAAAAGTGCTCTGAAGCAGATATTATGAACAGAATTTATTCAGGTCGAGATCTTTCATGGTACATTTCTACGCGATATTGAGAAGTTTGTGGAAGTAGAGCGCGTAAAATTTAAATATATCATCGATTCACTACTATACAAATTATTAATAGCTGTAAACGCGAAAATTGTCTGCGTATTTGAATTTAGCAGGGAGTAGTTTAACTAAACCCCACAAACAAACCTTTGGAATTTTCGCCGATTTTCCTGTCCTGATATCCCGAATAGAAGTCAGCTCCAACAGATCGGTCTCCTGTAAAAAATGAAAGACTCAAGTGAACTAAGAGCAAAGTAAACTCTGCATAGCTATAAAGATATCATCATGGCAATAAATTCAGTACTTGTCATAAAAATATCACTTCGAGAACCGCCATTCGGGCGACCCTGCTCGATTTCCAAAAAAAAAATCTGAATAACCAGACGAAAAAGCTGATTGCAAGCAGCATGTGCAGACTAGAAATTTTCCTTTACTAAGCTTGTACTCGGGATACCATTGCACATGGTTTATTTAGACCGCTCACCTTATCTTCGGCTCTCCAATAGATTAAATGGGCCGCCGGGTCTACCTTCACCGTACATTGCAGTCCTACCGTAGAGTCCTGTGTGGAAAGAAAAAAGTTCCAAAAATATTTTTTAAAACGGCATCCGTCGGAGGAAGTGAAGCCCCGAGTCAATTCTTTCGACAGCGTCGGCTTCGCAACACAATTCGAGAAGCCTAACTTCCTGTGTAATAGAATGGTGATTTTCCGACCATAAAACACGAAACCAGGCAAGTCCCTAATATGCCGAGGCAGCTGGAAAGGTATCGGCTTAATGTTAGATTACTTATAGTCCTTTTTAATATTTCCCATTGAAATTGGAGATCGAAGGAACAACATTCCAAAATAAACTATAGCGTGACTAATAAAACACAATCTCTTGAACAAAGTAGACATCAAAACCTTTCAGCGCACCTCGTCCCATTTTATGAATCTTGCTCCTCGAATTAAAAAATCTGCGACCTCGGGATGTGTGAGCCTCTCCAGAACGGCTTCACCGCCCGCCATGTTTTTAGCTCAATTCAAAACACTGACGGCTTTAGCCGAATTACTGCAAGGCCAATAGTGCCCTCTGATTGGTCAAGCCGTCAAACGCCAACAATGCAGTTTGCAGAACTTCCAAACTCAGCACACAGACAGGGGTAAAAGCGACAAAATTGCTTAGGATTTCTTCATGTCGCTTCTTTTCTTGGCAATCGTGCCATTCTCCGGGCGATTGTTATTTACAAACAAAAAAAAACAGCACGTTGTTGATGAGAAAACATTTATATGCGATCGACTCTTGGCAGCGCTGGCAATGAACCAAAAACATACATGCTATAAAATATCACCAAGAGTTTGTTTACATTTGAGAAAGATGATTATTATCATCAATATAAAAGGTGGCACTAAAACATTCGACGCCAGTCTCATTTAACCACGAAAATGTACGGCTCAAAGTTTCCCTATCGCCGTTTCTTCTAGGGAAAGTCTAATTTTAAAATGTGTCGCGGAGAACACAAAAGAGCGGATAGTGGCATACAAATATAGCACCCTATTTAAAGGTTAGCGAGCAGAGGAAATTGTTCGAGTTTCGCTGATCCGGCCAAGAGCGTTTAAAATGACTTAAGTTTATACTTTCGTTAAATTTCATTAGAAATTTGATTAACAATTCAAGTCAGAATGTTGCTGTATTTTAACTGTAATAAGTACGCACAATAAGTTAAAACGTTGGGAAATAAGTTCTCTTGCTGATATGAGGAACAAAATAGGACGGATGTACTTCCTCCAGTTTCAAGTAGCTCATAGATTAATCACACTCTGAGCCGTTTGTTCCCTGATGAAAAATAACAGCTTTTGTGATAAAGCGTTCTACTCGCACGAGGTTAAAATTGATTTTCTTTTATCGGAACTTAAATACATTTAAGTCATATTTTCTGGTAAAGTGATTCGCCCCTCAGTCACTGGAAATATCGAGAAGGAATAAGAAAGATCGTTAATTGGAGTAAAATGGTTTTAAAAACTACATCTATTAGTATATTCATAAGCAGGAAAGATCGTGGGACACATAAATGCTAATTATGAAGAATACCCAGCCACTACATAATTCAAAAGAATAAAAAGAAGAAAGAAACTTGAATCATGGCGGCTCCTGAGAAAAACACCTGCTGGAAAAAAAAAAGAAGAAGAAAAAGATTGGAAACGGCTTATTATCCCCAAACTATTAAAATCTGTATATCAAACAGGCCACAAACAAAAGTTATCAATAACATCTCTGAGAAATATCACCAAACCACTTATTTGGACAAAAAACTACAAAAATTGTCAAAAAAGTGTCTTGTAATAAGTGATCTTTTTCTTATTACTTATTCAAGGAATAACAGAATGTCAAAAATGATTTTTTCAGCTAACTATTTACACCTGTTATGGCTTATTTCTTGAACTACCAATCCAAATATTCCTCAATAATCATATTTTTAATTTAATCACAAAAACTCATCCCAAAAATATCTCTTAAAATGTTATTTGAATAATATTTATATATTTTCTTCTTCTTTTTCATCTTTCTTCAGGCTATACTTAAACTCAACTTTTGACTGTAAGCAAAGAGAAACAGCTACTGCATTACTCGGCAATGTTCAATTAATTTTTTATTCTGAAATTTTTCAAAACAAAATCATGCACTCAGACATCTTTTATAACTGTAATTTACAGTACAAAAGATTATCCCTCAAGCACAATACATTTTACTTGTCAAAATAAAAGACTATATAATGTTCATATTTAAATGAAAGACATGGGTGGAAGCTATATTGAATTATTTAATTTCATTCACATGCGGACATAGGAAAAACAATTCATTTTTCTTTAAAGCAAGACATATATTCTAACAATAAAATGAATGAGGCAAAAAATAAAATTTCCATTCCCTCCTAACAATTTAAAGTGTATCTTTTCTCCTTTCACTGAGCTGCAAGACCAAAAATCATTAAAAGGTCACCAGGAGTAAAAAAAAAAAATGTGACACTCCCTTCTTTGATAATGGAAACCAGGGAAAATAGGAAAATCTTTGTAAAGGAAAACAATAAAACACCAAAAAAATTTTATGAAAATGTTGACCTCAGTTTTACATTAGACCATCAAATCCAACTAATAAAACATTAAGGCTTGCTACAACACCTCAATTGCAATTTGCCGAATAGGCAACTTAGGCTGATAGTCTAGTTCCCCAAATTTTATGAAAATGTTGATCTCAGTTTTACATTAGACCATCAAATCCAACTGATAAAAACATTAAGGCTTGCTACAACACCTCAATTGCAATTTGCCAAATAGGCAACTTAGGCTGATAGTCTAGTTCCTCAAATTTTTTTTGTCTAGATGGGTGATTAAAACAGTTGCAGTGAAGAGTGCTGAGTGCTACTTAGGATTACACTGAATAATTAATTTTCTTTCAGACAGTGGTGAAGGAAATTACATACTTTATCTATGCTGGAAGAAACAGTGACAGATTACAACCAAAATGCATTTCAATAATAACTTTGATCATTTAAATTTAAATAGAACCCACTTCAAATGAACAAAACATATGTAAGATTATCAAGTCTCTCTATTAACTTCCACACTTAGAAGTTCATTAGGAAGCAGACTCTGGAGATTTCTCCAGCTATTAAGTATCTTTCTTGAACTTAATGTAAATGACCTGTGTTATTTTTAAATTCAGACATGAAGATTATCCTCCTCATTAATTTATATTAGTATATAATGCACATGAAAATAGTACTTTTTGCGCATGCTGATTGGCCAGTTTGAAAGCGATGAGCAAGTATTACTTAGAGAAGAAAAAAATTTTTTTTTTCATTTCTATGCAGTAGTATTACAACAATTATTGATGGCAACATGTAATCCATAAAAGTAGTCTGATTGTCCATGCAAGAGTAGTCTTGCTGAAGACAAACCCCCTTGGTACAAGTATGAGTCACTGATGTTTTGACAACCTTAGAGCTAAGCTTGACAACCGAAAGAGCTGTTGTAACTCAGGTGTTGTGCATGTTTGTCTTGTTTGTGAAAACTGGTTGGTCAGTTTTCCCTTTTTTTTTTGTTTTTTAAAGAAAATTCTCTGGCTACTGTGCAGAATTCTCTAGCTTAATTTTAATTTCCTGTGTAACTTTTATGTAGCATTTTATCTTTTCAGGCTTCAGTGAGATATCCTCACAAGTAACCTCCTCTCATCAGCACCTTGGACCCCCTTTCAGGGTTCCTGATCAAAATTGTCATCACAACCTGCTCTTATCCCTTTAACTCCCATGAGTGACCAAGATAGAACTTCTCCTTACAATATCAGTACAATATAAAGCAGACAAGTAATGAGAATAAAGAAAAATATCAATTAGGGAATTACAAGTTGATCAAATACCAAATTCTTTAAACTAACATCACAAGAACTGTACAGCAGACAGTAAGGTGAATTACTAATGAGATCTTGGTGGTTAAAGGGTTAACGCCAGGCACCTAAATCTGGAGTCATATACAGATATCATGACTTTTTTTAAAAGAGTCTTCTAGGACTGAGAGACAAGTGGACTTATGCCTTCTGTCTGGGAGGGCAGCTGACAACAGTAAATGGGTGGCCACCTCTCTCAAGTGCGGGAAATGCCACAGTCTGAGGATTATTTTGCTAGACTGTTCACCCAGAGGTCTAATTCTAAGACCTGGCTTGGTCATTTTGTTGTGCTCTTGCGCAACACTTTACTCTCACCAGGCCTCCTCTCCACTCAGGAGTATATAAGTGTAGTTGAGAACTCTCAAGGAAACTTTAATCCTTAAACCCGTACAAGTGACTAGTCAGCATTCCTTGAACAATGTGGAGAATAATATTAAAGGGTTAACCATTTAACTCCCAAGATTTCATTTAGTAATTCTCTTTACTGTCTGCCTTACAATTCTTGTGATGCTAATTTGGAGAATTTGGAATTGGATCAACCAATAATCCCTTAATTGATATTTTTCTTTATTCTCATTACTTGTCTGCTTGATATCATACTGATAGTGTAAGGAGAAATTCTGCCTAGATCACTTATGGGACTTAAAGAGTTAAAGGGAAGTGGGGTACAGGGAAAGTAGTGATACTTTTACTCTCTTCATGTTTCAAGAAGTGGATAAGGTGCAGACTTGACCTCTCTTTGTTTATCTTTAATGATGACACCAAACGAGTTACAAGACTCCTTAGGTGATATACTTCACCCTTTGCACCCTAACATCAGTATGCATATTCTCCATACTGTTCTTTCCACATTTCTTAACATGCTGACAAGGAGAATTTGTTTAAAAATCAAGAGCTTCTTAAGCTGGTGATCATTTCTCTCAATCTCATTACATTAATATGTGATTCAGGGGTGATAATGTAAGGAGAAATTGGGTGTTAATCACTTAGAGGTCAAAGGGTTACAAACAAATTTTGTCCCTGTTTGATTTCTTCAGTCATCTTTTTCTAAATAGAGGGATGTAACGGGAGGTTATACAGCATGCCAAATTTACACCTTTTATGGTCTAAACTCTCATTTAAGATTGGGCTGAAAGATTTTTAAAAAGTTTATTAAGGAATTTTCTATTAATTATTTTAAAGACAACCACAATTCATGCAAGAAAATGTGTAAGTAACTTTCAAAAGCCCATAAATTTCCAAATATTTTCTGGGTGACAATGCACCAGACCCTTGTGCTTTTAATGCTCAAATTATAAGGGTTTTGATAAAATCCAGTTATCAGCCAATTAAAACTACATATACAATCCCTTCCCTATCTGTTGAGCCTGCATTTAGACTCTCCTGATTTTTAGGCACAGCTAAGGTACAGCTAAGGCACAGCTAAGGCACAGCTAAGGCACAGCTAAGGCACAGCTAAGGCACAGCTAAGGCACAGCTAAGGCACAGCTAAGGCACAGCTAAGGCACAGCTAAGGCACAGCTAAGGCACAGCTAAGGCACAGCTAAGGCACAGCTAAGGCACAGCTAAGGCACAGCTAAGGTACAGCTAAGGCACAGCTAAGGCACAGCTAAGGCACAGCTGCCCATTACAGCATCAGCAGTTGTTTATGGAAAAAGGTTTATTAAAAAAAAAAAATTCTACAAATCATTTCAGGTAACAGTGAAAGTGGTCACATACAAACTTAAAAAAGGTTGCTAGAGATAAATTTTGGGTGCCAGAAGAAATTGTACGACACTTTCCTTCAGAGATTTATGCAACATCTCAAGGCCTGAAGGAGCTAGTTCATGACTCCAGCAAGTGCACTAGGAATAGAAAAACTGGTGAAAACAGCATGCTGTTGTTTTTTTTGATGAGTTGGCCGCTGCTGTAGAGTCTCATACAGTCCATTCAATCCTATGACATTGCAGCTATCAAAAGAACTTAGATTTAACTCACATCAATGATATTTATTGGGTGTTTTTTTTTCTACAGTGACTTAATTTCAACTGATACCTCAATTCTTTGGTTTAATGTCTCTTAGTCTGTTCAATAGCAACCAAAACAATTGCAGCTTGGAGCACTAAATAAGCCATAAGAAAGGTGAATCCATCAACATGGGAGAATGTAATCCAATGTTATTGTAATCCAATCCACATTCATTCACAACTTTTGCAAATGAAGAATTTCTGCAAATTTACATCCAAATGTCTCATTCTTAAATATACATCTGTAGTTTTCCATCTCCACTGAAAATTCCTGAACATGTGCTGCCTTGCAGGCTTAAAAATCACACCTCCATGTAATAATACAATGTGTCAGAAAAAACCATTTTCACAGTTACTGTTACCATAGGTAAGTTCATAAGAATCTTGCACTCTCCACACCCAAAATTCCAATGTCTTGAAATGATCTTGTACTTTCTTCTTCTCCCAATTCCAATTCACATCATTGAATTGCTTTTAACACATAAACTGAATGTGTTCTGCTGCATTTCATAAACAATTACCATGCTATTCCAGTTTCTTATGGTTGTTTAAAAAAGTCTTATTTAGCAAACAGATAAAGTGTACCCACAGTTGGTTAAGACACAAGCTTCTAGAAAATCCCAAATCCCATAAAACTCTGTTATGTTGTCAATAAGTCACCATCTTTTGTATCTTCAAGGTTTGTTGTTGTAAGTAATGCTTCCTTCTGCAGTCTAACTTTGTCCATCCATGGTTTACAGATTTGAAAGCCTGCAGCAGTTAGGACCAGAACACCACCCCTGTTAAAGCATGTAAATGATAGTTTAGTAATAAAATTAAGCCTATTAAGGATCAGTTAACTCTTAACACCCTAACATCAGTATGCATATTCTCCATACTGTTCTTTATACATATCCTAAGGTGCTGACAATGAGAATTTGTGTGCTGATCAAAAGCATATTTTGTTGGGTATCATTTCCTTGAAATTCTCATGACCTTAGTGTGTGATTCAGGGGTGATATTGTAAGGAGAAATTAGATGCTAGTCACTCTTAGGGGGTTAAGGGGTTAATGCAGCTATGGATTATCAGATTTGTCATTAGAAGCTGGTCAGCAGTATATTTTCTGCCAGTCGTCAGACCCTTTTGCACAGGCTACTCTCTGAATTGTTATGACAGATAGAAAATAAGTATTTTTGAACTGATTCTGAAATTAATATCTGGCTAAAAAAAATTACTTAAATATGCCCCAAAATGCTGGAAATGATGCCACTGAGGGTTTCAAATTTCATATTTTTCTGGGTGAGCATGACCCCTGACCCCTCTAGAAGGGTGCATTGCTTTGCAACATACCCTGCTTGCTATGCAAGCATAATTCAATTTATCTGCCTACTTGGTTCACATCATACGTCTACTGCACTTGCTATAAATAACCTTTTTTCCCCAAGAGAACAATTAAAATCATTTTTTGAGTGATATAATCTTTATCAAGCCACCAAAGGAGATTTTAGTAGGAAGATGGCATGGCCAGATTTGAATTTTTCATTGCAGCTTCATTGGGTGAACACCATACCCAGGTGTCCCTCAAGGGACAAAGAGGATTCAGTCAGTGCTGCTAAGACAAGATTTGTGTTCTTGCAAATAAATTCAGGACTGATACATGGTAAGTTTCACACTGGCTGCTCAGATTTGTATTATAATCAAATATTTCACTCCTGGAAGGGATCCACTTGCAATCTCTCCTTATCCACCATAAAATTACCCCTTTAACTTGCAAGATCAAATTGTTAATTCTCCCCTCTTGCTCCTACACATTTCTTTCTAAATTAGTTACAATAATTCATTGTTAGACCAAGATAATATCTTTAAACTGATAAGTTTGAGTATTCTCATTACCTGTTTGCTGAATAACATATAGATATTATTGGGAGAAGTTACATGTTAATCACTCTTAGGAGTTAAAGGGTTAATGTAAGTCAACAAACCTGTCAGACTGCAGAGATCTCAAGCCTCATGTATTGAGCAGGAGACTCATGCAAACAATTTTCAATGTAATACTCTTATGCTGAAACAGTTATTTCACACATATCTCAGGTTTATGACTTAAACTGTTGCTTTATTAAACTACTTATAAAAATCAATTATCTTTCTTGATACAATATACTCCTTGTTCCCTTTGAAATTGCTTTGAATTCTTTCTAAGAGTGGAAATTCTTCTGCTGAGCTACTGTTACACTGGTATGTGACAGCAGACCAGTAAGATGTACTCTCTCCACTATTGCTCAGAATAGAGGAAAACACATCTTAGCTAAACTTCCTATCCCTGTCCCCACCCCCAGAGGGATGAAACCCGCCGCATCACAATTGACAGCTTCACGGGCAAAAATCTCACTCTTTGGCAGCAAAACAACTTGAGAGCTCTAAGCCTGTGTATATGCTTGAGTGATACCCACGTGCATGATTTAGCTAGAGGGGGTGGCCAGATGCTGAGAACTCCAGGGTCAACTAAAGTCATTCCCGTATCAATTCAAGCCAACAAAAAAGCAATCAATGCTAAGTGTTTTCGTCTATTCGCTTTGTGGCGACACCATAGAAAACAATTACGTACACCAATTTCTAAACAGATGATTTACTTTTAAAATTACAGTAGCATTCGACTGAAAAATCGCAAATTACTTACACCAGATGAAATCTCATACGCCAAAAGTTAACGAAAATAGGATTCAACTCTTGATATTAAGATTAAAACTATAGGAATTTTAGAATTTGGATGAATTTGCCAAACTGTAAACAGTCATAGTCTGTAAGGACGGCAATAAGAAAAGCGTTTGCTTCCACTTATTAATGGGGAAGTTTCTTCCATATATACGTCATAAAACGGACTTACCAGACTCCGCAAAATATCGTTACAAATCGAACTCTCCGTCGCATGTAAGGATCCAAACTTCTAACTTCATCCTTCAGGTCCATTTTAGCCGGATAATTCGATAGTGCATATCGTCACCAGTCGCTCGCCTTCCAAACGAAGTCACGTGATTGCTAATGTTTTTCTTTCAACCCCAGATAACCTAACTACTAACCTCCATTGCAACATGGCTGCAGTTCGAGCAGAGGTCGTTACCAAAGAAGTCTTCGATCTGTATAGAAAATACGGAGATCAAGATTACATCGGTGAACCAGTATCTCAAAAAGAACATATGATTCAGTGTGCCATGCTTGCCGAAAAGGAAGGGTATTCGGACGAGGTAGTGTTAGGGGTTTTCCTTCACGATATTGGTCATCTGATCGGCTTCCACAAAGCTCTTCCTTGCATGGGAGACGTTGGAACTCAAGCTCACGAAATCGTCGGGGAACAGTTTCTGAAAGATCTCGGATTCCCAGACAGTGTGACAAGTTTTGTTCGGGGTCATGTTGACGCCAAAAGATATCTCGTCTACAAATACCCACATTATCACTCAGAGGTACAAAATCAGATGGTCTATTTTAGACCGTGCTTGGCAGTCAGAAATATTGATCGAATTCTTGCAAAATTTCCTATAAACTTATTGAGTATGTTCAATGTTTATTTCGAAATGCTAAGCGACTTTAAGAATTATTTACGGGTTCTTAATGGGCAAATATTCCGAACTTGTGCATGCCCTAAAATCGTTCGGTCATCGACCCTTAGAAATTCTACGCTCCTGAACAGAAAACGGTCTCAAGTTGAAACAATTTTTCCATTAAAAAACCCAAAAATAACTTTAAAAGATCCTTTCAGCGGAAATTCTGCAAAAATTTTAGACTGCGCGGCATGTAGTCCATTTACGACCTAGTCTCTGCTGCCGTAGTTTTGTTCGTCACGCAATAAGCCCTCTCTCCCCTTCCTGGTGGGGGAGAGAGCGCGTTGTGTGACGAGACCAAACGGTGGTGCTGCGGAAAAGTCAACCTCCGCCTTGTATTTAAAGGATTATCTCCATATTCTGTTCATCAGCTGTCCGAGGCAAGTAAACTCACGCTGATCTATCAAGGAGGACCAATGAAAGCAAACGAAGCTCAGAAGTTTGAGGAGCTGAAACATTTTGAGGCTTTGATCAAGATGAGAAATTGGGACGATCTTGGCAAAGTAAAAGGCGCACCCATTGACTCACTTGATAAATATGAGAAGATGTGTAAAAAGCTCTTGGGAACAGTTTTCATTGAATAATCGATAATAAATCATTACTTAATTTCGAGGAGGTACGTACCATTTCCCCGAAACTTTGTCTAATACTGATCTTTATATACGTGACAACAAAGTCGATACAATCGGGAAGGAGCGTTTCTATGGTTTTTACACGAAAATTATTGAAACAAATCCCTCGCGAAAAAGATTTTCCATTGGGTTGAAAATGTTATAAAACGATTGGTTCATAAGTCAGCTGTGCGTTCATCGAGATATGAAGCACCCGGGAAGTTTGGAGAGCACGAAAGATGCGTAAGAGTTGCTCGAGGCGTAGCCGAGAGCAACTCTAGCTTCTTGAGTGCTCTCCAAACTTCCCAAGTGCTTCATATCTCGATGAAAGCACGCTGACGCATGAACCAATTGTTAAAAGGAAACAGTATTGAGCCAAAAGAATCAATTGATCATTATTTGTTGCGCAAAAGTTACAAAATTTTTGAATGAATTTTAAAAAGATATTGCTAACAGCAATAACAATACCAAGGATAATAATGGTATTATTGTCATGTAATATATTTTTGATATTATATTAAAATATTAAGATATTAATTAAATCATGCATGGCTACGTTTCATGTCACTCAAAAGTTATCAAATGTGTGTCAAAGAGATCTAGAAAAAAACATATTTGAAGTGCAAAATATAAAAGATTAGATAGAAAAGATATTACATAGCCTATTATATGAAAATAAATACTCAATAAAACGCTTATACATTTAGGAACTTTCGCGAACCCTAACTGTTACGTAATGGTATGAACCGTGTGACAGTAGCGTGACATAGCAAAATGGCTTCCAACAGTACGCGGTGGGGCATAATGGGCGCTAGTCGAATTGCTCACGATTTCATGGTGGCATTAAAAACATTACCAGAAATCGAACACACAGTAGTTGCAGTATCCTCTCGTTCCCTAGAGAGAGCAACTGAATTTGCAGTGAGACATAAAATCGCAAAAGCATACGGTTCTTACAAAGAACTCGCGGAAGACGAAGATGTGGAGGTTGTTTATGTCGGTACTATCCATCCAGAGCATGCACCGCTTTGTAAACTGGCACTTAGTCACGGAAAGCATGTCCTTTGTGAAAAACCCATTACCCTGAATCTTAAGAACACCAAGGAATTGTTTGATCTGGCGAAGGTGAAAGGACTTTTCATTATGGAGGTGAGTCACAGGAGGATTGGGGTGACGCAGTCAGGGATGGGGAATGTCTTTTTCCCTCCGACAGCTATCGAAAATTGTGAAAAAATTATATATTTCTGATAAAATTATTTACAGCTAGAAGTATGGGTCAGTTTCGCTGATGATCATCCAACATCAGGGTTTTCTAATCAAAATTTAAATTTTCACGTGGTTTAATTCAAATGAATCAGCAAGATCATTAGTTGTTTACTGATCGGGAATCAAGGGATTGCAACTTGGACGCTCCACTAAAAGCCAAAAGCCTTCTTTGGTTATTAATTATGGCAACTGTGATGGTACCCCTGTGATGCTTATTATAACCCACAAAAAATTTATTTTTCCAGGCACTATGGACAAGATTTTTTCCACTTTATGCGGAAGTTAAGAACCTGGTAGACTCAAACATTCTCGGAGAGATTCGAGTTGCTATGGTTTCTTTTGGAATAAGCGCAGATCATGTAGAACGCTTACAAGACCCTGCCATGGGTGGAGGTGCACTTCTGGACGTAGGAATATATTGTTTGAATATTGTTGATATGATATTTGGTGGTCAAGAACCTACAAGTATATCTGCCATGGGTCAGAAAACACCAGCTGGTGTAGATTCGACGGTAACAATAACAATGCTTTATGCAGAAAACAGAACAGCTTCATTAACCATAAGCATGGGTAAGTACTGTCAGCCAAAAACTTAGGGCTGAGTTGTTCAAAGCTGGGTTAAGATAACCCCAGGGTTATTGTGAAGTTTTTTTTCATATCTAAAAAGCCTTAAAAGGAAATTTAGTAGGATTCTTTTCGTTTACAATCTGATAATTGGATGCCCCACAAAGAATACTTAGGTAAAACTATCCCAGATAGGCTTTTGAACAAAGGAAAAAAGAAACCCATATTATATTTTATCCATGGGTTAGTGCTAATCAGCCTTCAAACAACTGAGCCCAGTCAAAAAAGATCACATATATGCAGCTATCTTGTTCCTGGATAGTCTGAGAGAAAGTCCGAAATTGATTATGTAGTGAAATCAAATGAAAAGTTATAACTTTGGCACAAAATCCATGTTTCCCTTTTTTACTCACTAACATCAGTATGCATATTCTCATCATTCTCCCAAGGACCTGATAAAGAGAATTTGTTAAACAATCAAGAGTCTCTTAAGATGGTGGTCACTTCCTTTAATCTTGTGACCTTAATATTTGATTAAGTGGTTATATTGTAAGAAGACATTAGATGCTAGTCATTCTTTGGAGTGAAAACGTCAGGGAAAGCAAAAGTTGTGAATTCATCCTGGGGTATGTTTAAGCTGTTTGGATTGTCTACAGCAGTCAATGGATAACAGACGACTGGCATTCAGCTGATCATAGCATATTTGTTTATGTGATTTTCAGCTGCTCAGCTTCCAAATGAAGCTGTATTTGCAGGATCACAGGGATCACTTACAATTCATTCACCATTCCATTGTGCAACCAAATTTACATCACCAGCTGGAACAAAAGAATACCCTTTACCAAAGCCCAGTATGCCTTTGAATTTTGTGAACTCTACAGGAATGAGGTGAGCTGAGTATGTCCTGTAACTCTGAGGTTTCTTAACCCTTAAGTCCCACTAGTGACCAATACAGAATTTCTCCTTACAATATCAGTACAATATCATGCAGGTAGGTGATGAGAATAAAGAAAAATATTAATTATGGGATTATTAGTTGATCCAATACCAAATTCTCTAAACTAACATCATGAGAATTGTATGGCAGACAGTAAGGAGAATTACTAATGAGATCTTGGGAGTGAGAGGGTTAAGGTGATGTATCAAGCATCAGCCCTTCATCTTTCACTCCGATGAAGGGCTTACACTCTAAACATCAGCTTCTTTAGAAATTTACCTGCTATCCTCTTGGGGACAACAATCTCACTTTCAAAGACAAGAGACAGGTGATAGTGATTATTACCCAATTACCATACAGATGGAAAAGTTGTTGTTTTCAAAGATCTAAATTATAAAATGATTTCTGCTAGCTGGAACTGTATTTTATTTTGTGTTAAGAGTATGGTAGTGTACTCAGACCAAAGGGAAAAACATATTAAGCTAGTTCACCCTTCAACCCCCATAAGTGACAGACAGAATATCTCCTTACAATATCAATACAATATCAACAAGATAAGTAATGAGAATAAAAAAAATATCAATTTGGGAATAAGTTGATCCAATACTAAATTCTCCAAACTAACATCATAAGAAATGTATGGTTGACAGTAAAGAGAATTACAGATTTGATCTGGAAGTTAAAGGGTTAAAATCAATTTGACCTGAAATTATCTATAAACCATGACAAAGATATATAAGTCAGAAGTGTCAACATGAACAGCACACTCGAAGTACAACTACTGTCTTTTCTACTTCTTCTTGCACTTCTAGATATGAAATTGAAGCTGTCAGAAAAAGTTTATTGTCTTCTGAAACACAGAACTCCACCATGCCCTGGAGTACAACTGAAAGAATTTTTCGTTGGATGGATGAGATTCGCCGACAACTTGGAGTTGTTTACAAAGAAGACATTTAGAAAGACCTTTTGGGTTTCCTTGGAAACAAGAATCCTCTGTACCCACCCACCCCTCCCCTCCCCCAAGCCGAAAACAATTATACTTAACCGTTTAACTCCATGAGTGACCAAGACAGAATTTCTCCTTACAGTATTAATACAATATCAAGTAGACAAATGAAGAGAATAAAGAAAAATATCAATGACGGGGTTACTTGTTGATTCGTTATCAAATTCTTCCATCTAACATCATAATAATTGTATGACAGAAAGTAAGGAGAACTACTGACAAGATCCTGGGGATGAAAAGGTTAAACAACTAGCCATCGCTGTCCAGGCAAAATAACCATAAAAACAGACCCCATTCCACTAAGACACATGATTTTTCTCTAAAGCAGACGCTTTATTCAAATGAGTTTGTTTTCTTACAATGAAATTTAGTATCAGCATCTTCTATTGATAATAAATCTTTTACCAATAATCAAAGAACTACTGACAACAACTTCTCTCACACATAAGACCTGTAACTAAATCACCAGAGGTTGACTTTGAGCAACATGCTGCAAGATTAAGTGTTGCTGCAATGACAAAGATTTTCACAAAAATTATCTGCCTCAAATGAAACAAATTGTTCCTGTAACTGGATCATTCATGTTAGCATTTCAATCACTATTGTTTTACAGAAAGGGTTACATGTCAATTACAAAACTTTCCAAGACCAATAAATTAATCCTTTAACTCCCAAAAGTGACCAAGACAGAATTTCTCCTTACAGTGTCAATACTATTTCAAGCAGATAAGAGATGAGAATAAAGAAAAATATAAATTTGGGGATAATTAGTTGATCCAATACTAAATTCTCTGAACAAACATTATAAGAATTGTATGGTTAAAAGTAGGAAGAATTGAAAATTTGATCTGGGAGTTAAAGGGTTAAGTAACAAAAAACTCAGGGCTCAGACCTAAGTTGCAAACTGCAGATCAACCTCTTACTGTAAACTACACAAAACATTTATAATAATTAGCTCTCAACTCCCATGAGTGACCAAGACAGAATTTCTCCTTACAATATCCATACAATATCAAGCAGACAAGTGATGAGAGTAAAGAAAAACATCAGTCAGGGGATTATAAGTTGATCACATACCAAATTCTCCAAACTAACATCACAAGAACTGTGTGGCACACTGTTAGGAGAATTACTACCAAGATTTTGGGAGTTACAGGGTTAACTCACAGTTAATAGCATGGAACTGACAATCTTTCTGACTATTGCTTATCCTAAAAAAAATCCTGTCAGCTTTTTTGTTTTTCATCATTTAAAATAGCTTTAAATATTACATAACAATCAATATGTACTACAGGTTAAAAGATAACCTCCCTCTATATGACAAATATACACATCAACAAAATGCAAACATCTGGTAAATTATTATGTATATTAACAGTAGAAAGATGCAACACAGCACCAACAGTTGTTTTTATATACAATTAACTACATAGGGCACATTTGTAAAATCATAGTCATATGGTTCTTTCAAAATACTACCAAATAAAATTTTGTTGATAAATCAGATAAAGCCATGGCCACAAATGGGTACAAATTTCATTCTAAAAAGTTGGACTAGTGAGGTTAAGCATGACATTTAGGGAAAAAAACCAATAGTAAAAACCAGAACTCCTTTACATCTCCACACAGCCAATAATTGCTTTACGCAGTGATCTAACACCAAATTCTTGTGGCTAATTCACAAGGAAATGTGTAGCAGCTAGAAGGGAGAATTAACAATCAGATCTTGGGAGTGAAAGGGTTTAGGATTTATTAATAAATGAGAAAAATCAGGTGGTATTTTTCGTGTTTTTTGTACATTTAAACTTCCTGCTTAAATTCACTGACGGAACATCTCTATCAAGGAGAAAGTTAGAGTTATTATTGAAATCACAATAAATTTGTATCCAAAAGTGGTTAGGCAATTTTTTCATGTTTTTTATGAGATATTTGATGTTTATAAATAGATTGATGTAGATATTAATAAAATGGTCCGATCAAGAAGAGATTGCTTGAACACATTTAAAAGGCATCTGATGCAGTGATTTGAAGGCAGAAATTCCATTTTAGCCTTAGTCACATTTTTTCATGTCTAAAAAAGTCAAATTTACCTTTAGTAATACTGCCTCAATGAAAAGCACAAAATTGATACCCTTTTGACATAGTGTTCACAACACTGCCATCTTCTCATGTGAAGATAAGACATCTTATTCACAGCAGTTAGTGACAATCTAACCACAAGGAAACAGGAAAATATCTTTACATTTCAGGCTCTACCTCTATGTTTTTCAATACAAGCTAACCCACACAGGGCCATAGGGGTCATATGGTAATATAATTTACTAAGTTTTCACTGATATTTACTCATTGAACAGTGAAGCTTTAATTTGGATTTTTGTTTCAAATCAATTACTATATCAAAATATGTAATACCTAATTTTATTAATTTCCACACTTATATGGAACTTTTAATGTAAATCATTGTTATCTCATTTTTATATTAGTAATTTTTTCCTTTTCCAATATGTTTTGTATAAAGTTACAGAGCCTTTACAACTAAGCAACACCAAGTTTTTCTCAGTGCCAGATATCCCATACATCTCATGTCCAAGTTCACTTTTCACACAGTATGTACACGTACATCTGAAGAAGCAGAGCTTTCTCAATTTCTTTTGCCAAACAAAGTAATGAATTAAAATAGTCTAAAAACTACACCACAATTCCCAAACGCCTCGACTATAAATTAAGTTGGAGATAAAGCTTACTTTGCATGAAGAGGACATGACACTCACTTGCTACATTGTTGTAAAGTACACTGATGAATAAATTAAAATAACTTGTCTTGACAACTTTTTAACCCTTTTAAAATAATTGAAATAAGTAAGCATATGACAGACATGGTGCACTGAAGATCAAACTGATATTGAGCATGAAAACTTTACCCACTGTATCAGGAATTTTAATATCAAAGTGACATGGCCTGTTTTCATGATGAGGTAGGTGAGGTAACCTACCAAGGTGAGGAAACCTGCCTAGGTGGGCCACCCCACCCAAGTTGCCTATGTCTGGCAGGAACCCTATCAGCTAGGGTCCCAATTTGCCATGCAAATGTCTCCAGGTGGGGTAACTGCCTAGCTATGCACCAACAGCCTCTAGAAACCACCTTGAGATTCCAGGGTTGAAAGATTACCTGTATATGTAGACATGGGCTATTTTCTGACCACAGCTGGGCAGGTTACCTCACCTACCTGGGGTTCCCAACCTTTAATTCTAAAAACCAACCCAAAAGATAAAGTATATTCTGACTATTACATACTCCATTCCACTGTTTCAGTTAAAATTGAAAACAACCATCTGATGCTTACTTCCTGGGAGAAAATATCAAGTAGACTTGTCCATAATACCACGGGTATATATGTGCAATACCAATACAGCATTAACCTCCTTCATCTAAGCATTTTTAACGTAAATTGATTCCAGTTTAAGAGCTCCATAACCAATAAAATATCATGTTCTTCTTACTTATAAATATCACTCTGTTTTGAACTAAGATTGAAACAGGGAAAACTGTCTGCTTGCCTGCCCTGAGGTAAATTTTTTTAATATTATATACATTACAAACTAAGGTTTGTTCAATACTGACCTGCAGTATTAACTTATATACAAAAGGTTAAAGTTACTGTTAAGGTTCCACTTCAGTGTGTTGGTAAAACAGTCTGGAATGCTGTGTGGATAGCTTTCCTAGACTTCTCACCATTTGTCTTGATTTCGTCCATGTTTTCTGACACAACCTAGAGAGATAGAAAAAGTGTTTTTTCAATTTACGTAAAGAAAGAAATTAACAGTAATAAATTATTGTCACAATGAGACCTTCCCATTGATGACACAATCACATCACAACTGAGCTGAAGACCATTAACTCACAGGTAGATGACGAGTTTTGCACCCTGCTCTAATCAGCAATGTTTGAAGTATCATGTGCACAAATAAATGAATAAAAAGATGGTAAATTTTGACCCAGATGGTTTAATGTTTTCTTTGTTTCAGACTTGAATAGAGTTTATGGGTGTTTATCATTTAACCAAAAGATCTGTAATTTTGGGTGGAAAACTTCTGAGGAAAAGGTTAGTTTTGTAGAAAATACAAATTTTCCACAAAATCATTTTCTACAAAAATCCACGGTTTTCAGAGTTTTAACTGATAGTACAAAGAATTAAAAAAATCATTTCCCTACTTTCTGAAATTCAACTTCCAAGTTCTTCCTCTCCTCTTTATGCTGGTTTTTTAGTTCTTCAAGTTCTCTTTCTTGTCTCTTTGACAACTAGAAAGGAGAACAGATTTAGATATACTGTAAGTTTTAGGTCAAGCCTATATACGCAAGAGATATCCTGTTAAATTTTCCCATAACTTTTTTGTGTCTCTGTTTCTTTCACATTCTTTTGATACATAACTATTTACAATACACTGTGTGTCTGTTCCCTGGGGGAAGTAGTTCATTTTCCCTGGGGGAAAAGTTCATTCCCCATGAGTCTCAATGTTTCACTTGAGAAAGCATATTAAATAATGTTAGAAAACCCAAACTAACTGTTTCCCTTGGGAACACGCATTGAGGGTAAATTGTTTAACTTACCCTTTGCCTTTCATCCACAAACTGTTTGAGGTTTTGCTTGTCTAGCTCTCTCTGTCTCCTGAGAAAAGGAAACCAGGTAAGTCTTTACTACAAAATAAATGCCCTAAGACAGGATATTATGTTCTTGCCATCTTAATACTGCCCATGGCATGTTTATGGCAATAAACTATTAACACCCAGACTGAAAAAAGTGACGGGGGGGGGTTAAGAGATAGGAGGACAGAGACTTTTCTCTCCTCCATCCTGTTGAAATGTTTTACTTTGCAGGGTGATGAAGTTCATTAATTAGACTGCCTGAAGAAATTTTAATTGGGGCAGTTCAAAGATAGCACTCCATATCGCACCATTGTAAGTGTGTAACCTGAAGTGCCCGCTGTGCTTTACCAAGTGATTTAAGTGCCTGTTGTGTTTTATCAAGTGATTTCTGGCCAAATCCAGCTGACAATCACTACTTTTCATCCAGTGAATTTTGTCAGCAACCCCGAAATTGGCCCTGGAAAGCCACATTAGGGGAGTGGTCGATGAAAATTTATTATAATATAAGCTCGATGTTACTATAATAATCAATATGTCTCCCACCCTTAATAGCAGTCTGGTTTGATAATAACTAAAGGAAAATTAATCATACTAATACCTGTCCCTTTCCTCTTTAGACTGGATATTTTTGTCCTGTGCCAGGGCTTTGGCAGATTCCATTGACTGCTTTGTCTGTTTCTTTGTTATCTCAATGTTTTCCCTATAAAAAGAAAACAAACATACAAAAAGAAACAAAACTAAAGATATGCACCTTTAAAGGAAGTTCCCTCACAAATTCCAGTCAGATGTTGATATGACAATATGTATTTCTGTGCCTTTGTTTGATGAAAGTTTTAAAAATTCTACAAATACTTACTTTTCATGTCTTGCCATAACTTCTTTTACTTGAGTTTCATGAACAGAATCCATCACTTTCTTCAATGTCTCAAGTTGCTGTAAAAATAATTTAATTTAATTTTCTCTGGAAAAGATTAAAACTTAACTTCACTGCAGTTGTGGGAAAGAAATAAATGCAGTAATATTAATGATTCAGTTGTTCCAGACTCTTAAACATTCAACTGGTTCACACAAATAGCTCAAACTGACAGGAGGGTATTGAGTTCATGACCCATCCCTCCTAGTATGGCAATAGCATTGAAATCATCCATATGAGGGTTTCAATCGATGGTTGCCACTCCCACTAACTACTCCCCCCCACCCCCCAGCTGAGGCAAGAGAGGTAGGAAGAAGGGGTGAGTGGAAAAAAACTGGGTTCCCAAACTATGACTGGTTTGCCATTGGGTCTTAGAATTGATTAAAGGTGCTAATTTTTCATGCATATGCCATTATACAAGTTGAATACAACATCACTTCTTGAGATATTTTGCTGTAATTACATTTTGGTAATTAGAAATTGGTTGAAGGATTTCAGAACTGTTCTCTGGAATGATATGATGTGACAACTCATCAAGAAAAGCTTCAAAAGCAAATTATTCGTACCATATCTGCTTGTGGTTCATAGAGGGCAATCTCTTCCTCAACTTGTCGGTTAATCATATTTATCCACTCCTCTGTCTGGGCAGTTAATTTTTGCTTTGCCTGAAAGTTATTAATAATAAACATCAATGATTCTGTTCACTGTCATAACGATACTATGAAAAAACACTTTTGTTTGTTTATGCTCTTCACTTAGTACAGATTCTATTTGATACCATTATTTAGTGGGTAAGCGGGTTGGTCAGCCTATACATTCATTCACAGACAAAACAGTCTCATCAGATTTCAGTCTGTCTGTCTATCTTTCTGTCTGTCTATCTAACTCTCTATCTGTCTGTCTAGCTGCCTTCCTGTCTGCCTGTCTGCCTGTCTCTATCTCTCTGTGTCTGTCATCTGTCTGTCAGTCTGTCTGTCAGTCTGTATGTCTGTCAGTGTGTCTGTCAGTCTGTCAGTCAGTCTGTCTGTCTGTCTGTTGCAATCTGTCTTTCTGTCTATTTATCCCACTATCTGTCCATCCTAGTTTATAGTCTAGTGCTGTCACACTTCAGTTTTCTATTAATGCACCGCCCTTGACTTAGATGTTTCTAACAACCTATAATTATTAATCAGGTTTGTATACATGACTGTTATCTAATAACTTATCAATATCAAGTATTTCCTTTACCATGTCAGTTTGAGTCTTGTTCAGATAAAGCATCTTGTTCTCGTGAACTCTTCTCAGCTCCTCTGACCTTTCTTCTCTGCAAAAATAATTATAATAATAATAATAATAATTGTAGTGATAGATTTAAAACATACACAATTTTAAAAGCTGTTTAAAAAGAAGATATGTAGTTTTCTCTGCACCACTATTCAGTATAACGTTGCTTCCTTACTTATTTACCCACATCAATCTTACTCACCCACATCGTTTGAGTGCTCGCTCATGTGTTTTTATGGCAGTCACTTTAATCTTTTCATAGTTTGTTATGAGCTTTTCAAGTTCTCCTGTGTGAATCCTTTGCATGGCTGTACGCTCCTACAAGGTAAGAAGTTAATTTATCATCACCATCACCAATCCCCTTTAGCTTTCTTCCATTCAATGCCTTACTTTCACCCAAAACAATCTTTCCTAATTCCTCAAAAATTTCCAAATAATTAAGCATTTGTCTACATGTCCACACAAATGGTCCCCCCTCCCCCAATTAATCATCTGCTTTTAAGTCCACCTCTTTGCCACTTGTCGTTTCTCTGGCTCAAATAACATTGAATAAGTCAATCCATGCAGCAACCATTTATAACAAAGATTGAAGAACCAGCCAGGGTACATTTTTCATGCTTTTAAAAAGTTTCTTTTCACTTTTTTTTCCAACAGGTTGTTTGTCACTCACCTTGGTGTATTTTTTTGCAAGAGTTTCATTTTCCTTTTGATGTCTTTTGAAAACCTTGAGAAATGTCTAGAAAGTTATAAAAAGCACAAACCCATCATTATACATGCATATCAAATATCAGAGCATCCATTAACTGTTTCTCCTGAACTTGTTAGACCTTGTGGAGATACATAGTTTGGAATTTGCTATTATTCCAAATGTCATAAAATAATTTATCAGATTTTTGCAGACTTCATTGGAATTTATTTAAAACTTAAAATCCAAAGGCTGGATTCAGAATGCCTGACTTGCTGGGCTGCTTGTATAAAAGTCAGAGGGTCTAAGGGCTTTGCTGTCAACATTGCTCAGCAGAGCTTTACAAGCTAAATCAGTCATCAATTAAAGATACTGCCACAAAGACAATTTAGTGAATCAAGATTTAAACCACCTATATTCTCAAAAATACCCAACTTCACACCAAAAGAAAACTCTGACAGTTACCCTGTATTCAAGCCCTTAACTTGGATCATTAAGCTAACTCCTTTGCGTGTTTTAGAAATTTTAACAAAGATCAAGCAAGAGTCAGTGATAGTTACCTTATCCTTTTTCAGTTCTTCAACAATTACTGGGGAAAACTTAAAGTCATCTGCATCAAAAATGAGAAAAAAAGAGAGAAAGAAAGAAAGACTGCATGATTCAACTGCCACTGCATGGGCAAGCTTCAGATCTGTAGCTGCAATCTAACAAAACTTTTGCCACACATCCTAGTTTTGCTTCCTTAACCCTTTAACTCCCAAGATCTCTATAATAATTCTCCTTACTGTCTGCTATATATAGGTCTTGTGATGTAAATTTGGAGAATTTGGTATTGGATCAACTAATAATCCCTCATTGATATTACTATTTCTTTATTCTCATCTCTTGTCTGCTTGATGTTGTATTGATATTGTAAGGAGAAATTCTGTTTTGGTCACTCATGGGAGTTAAAGGGTTAAGCTTTTTCTTCCTTACTGTATTTTAATTTTTTCAAAGAGATTTAACTATTCAAGATGACAGGGTTTCCATCAAGATACATGGTTGCTTGCCAATGGCATAAAGAACCATGGGGAACATTCTCCAGGTCTGAATGAACAAAATTATTTCAGTCCATCAGGATTTTGCTGGTGTACTTTAGATAATATATGCTAAAATCCACATTCTCTGGTGCCTTGTGGGTACTGAGAAACTATCCGTGGTACCCTAATGAAAACCAGTTAGAGGATAGTTTTGCTGAAACAGCAAGTTTAGGTAGTCTAGCAGAAATACCTGAGACTTATTAACTTACGTTTCTTTGGAACATTACTCTCGATAAGGGTAAGTTCTGATGAGGATCTTGCACCACCATAATTCAGTGTCACAACAGATTCCCGAGGTCGAGCTGGAGCAGGTGAAATTCCACCAGCAGTAGTGATGGAAGTCAAGGAAGCTGCATTCTTTATTCTTGATAAGGAATTAGATGAAGGCGAAAACTTTAAAAATGAGGCAAAATTACTGTGGGGGTCTTCATCCTGCAGATAAATATATGAAAATACCTTAAATTATTATCAATTAAAACAAACAAAATCCAGATACAGTTGAGGATGATATTAACAAACACAAAGATTTATATAACTTGTTAGAAAGCAAAAAATTACTTTTTTTACAATTCCCTGCCCCACCCCCCTTACTCTAAGGAGTGATCAAGACATACTTTCTCCTTACATTATCAGCATATTATGGATACACAGGGTAACAAGTTAGAATAAATCAAGTAATGAACTGGAGGATATAAGCTTATCGCATTGATTCACCTTCCATGCACAAACAGAAATCTTACAGCATGCACTGAGGAAAAGGATGACTTGAACCTCAGAAGTGAAAGGGTAAAATATTGTCCTTATTCTATCGGCAAATACTAACATTGCTGTTGATGTCCCAGCATGTAAATCCTCCTAGTAAAGCTAATGCACGGCCCACAAGTAGAGGGATTTAAGGAATTTTTCAACCTAGGAATACTTCCTTGATTTGATGCAAGATTTTTGAAAAAAATTTGTATATGAAATCTGTGGTCATTTTTGAGGAGGGTGAGTTCACAGATAATTGGGATAAATAAGGATAAACCTTACATTTTCCTTTATCAAGTTTAACTCTTTACACCTTAACATCAATATTCATATTCTCCATACAGTTCTCTATACATTTCTGAAGGTGCTAACAAGGAGAATTTGTTTAACAATCAAGAGTTCCTCTACTTGGTGATCATTTCTTTTGTTCTAGTGAGCTTTAAAATGTTTGATTCATAGATGATATTGTTAAAAGAAATTAGATGCAAGTAACTCTTCGGGGTTAAAGGTGCTTATCATCTGCCCATTGCTTGTGGCAGCTACAGCAGAAAGTACTTGGACAAGCAATGAAAATGTTACCTCATCGATGCCAAACACAACCATTTGAGCAGCTCTCTTGTCCACGGCAGACTGGTACTTTATTGGCTCTGATAGTTCATCAACTATGGCTATTGTTGGGACAAAAAATCAAACACGAGAAAGCCTTTGAATTACTAGGACAGCACACAGGAGAACATATAACTTTTCACAAAATTTAGTCAGAGATCACTTACAGGTACAATTTTCATAGCTTCCTTATGCAATTTACAGAGTCTGAGACAATGGTACAATGCAATCCACACAAAACATAGCTAACACTATCTGATTAAAAACCTAACATCAATAATTAAGAGGTATTCTTTGTACTATTCCCTATACATTCCCTATGGTGCGGACAAGGAGAATTTGTGTAATAATCAACAGCTTCTTTAGCTGCTGATAATTTTCATCATTCTCAGAACCTTACTGCATGATTCAGGGGTGATATTGTAAAGAGAAATTAGATATTAGTCACTCTTAGGGGTTAAAGGGTTGATACAAACCTGTATATCTCTCAGGAATGTATGTCTTGAGGGAAATTTGACAAAACAATGTTGCTAATGGTAATGGCATGTTGTTCTCTGTTCTCAAGGAAATGTGGCGAAATCCTACCAGAAAAAAGTAAAATAGCTGTGAGTATAATTGAACATAGCAAACACTGAAAAGTTTTACTGATGGTTTCCCAAACATGATTTCAAACTGATTTGTGACTCAAGCAATTGAACAGATCAAAGTTTAAGGGTTGGCCTAATGGTTACTATGCTGGATCCCTAGTCAAGCTATCTGAGTGCCACACCTGGCCAAGTCAAACTGTTGTGTTCTAGGGCAAAACACTTCTCTTATACAGTGTCTCTCTCCACCCAGGAGTATAAATAGGTGCCAGCAATTGCCTGGGAAGCCTGATGAAATGCAGGAGGGTAATATTGTGATGGACTAGCATCCTATTGTGGGGGGGCTGGGTGAAAGTAGTGATATACTCCCAAATGCCTCATTCTAAAGAAACTGGAATAAGTTTTAACTGGAGGTGGGGGTTTGATATAAGCTGAGTTGATATCTTAATTGGTCATTGTAAAGAGCTTCAAAGCTGATGTTTCGAGCTTTAGCCCTTTGCCATTCACTCTAACGAAAGGCTGATGTCGAAATGTCAGCTTTGAAACTCTTTAGGATGACCAATTAAGATATCAACTCGGTTGGTACCACTGAAATATCTTGTTATATACTCCCCCACTGACCCAGCACCACAGTATCTTTAGAAACCTACTGCCTTGATTCATTTTACTTAACAAAAAGATCACATCAACCACCAGACTGAATCTTCCCTACTACTGGCCTAATGACATGAAGCTCTTACCTGACTGTAAACCATCTAATGGAATAACCCTTTGGGCAATCAGTTTATCGTTGTCATCTACAACGCCGAATCTCAAAAGTGCAAGTTCTGGAAACACAACCTACAGCAAAAAACCAAATTGATAGTCAATTGAAACCATCATATCAACTTATATGTAGAATGATTTCAAAATTGTATTGTTTCCAAATCCTATACAGGCCTGAATTCTTTTTCAGGACTTATTTTCACTACTGCTTACAATAAGTAGTTCATTACAGCAAAGACCGTTTTTGTATTCATTTGTATCCTTATTGTTGAACAAAAGGAAAGAAGTACAACAGACCTGGACTACCCAGGTACTTTACTCAAAGGGTGCTATCTACTGTCCCCAATGTGGCCCTGTATCCAGGCTCCACTGATGTATAACCTGTGTATCTGTTACTTCCTTTTCCTAGCTGGGCACTTCCAATCAGAGGAGACCTTTTCTAGTCCCAGGAGTGGCCCCTGAATGAATGTTATATCAGATAACCTTTGTATCTGTTATCTTCTTGAAAAGGAACATCTATTCACAGGGGTCCCAAGGATGCCACCGAATAACATTCTACACCACAGCCTTAGTATTTATTATCTTCAGGGACATCACCAAAAAGGGGACACTTTTCCTGGTCTCAAGGATGTTCCATGAAAAAGTGTTCCTCTGTATAACCTTTGTAATAACTGCCTTCATTTAAAAACCTCTCCTTTCTGAGGGAACTACTAAAAGATGATCCAAATTTCTTTCAAAAGCGATAATTTTACCCGTCTGAATTCAAATGAATCCTCTTCATAAACTGGATCCATGCCATTGTTTGGTACAAATTTTGTCTTGTACTTCTTCCGCAGTGTATCAGTAGGAAGGCCATACATATCCACTTCAACACATGTGCTTATCCTCTTATCTGACAAGAACTGCCCTGATATCACCTAAAAAGGTACCATGTAATATCAGAAATGTTTTTAATTATTGAAGTGCCACTGAAACTCACCCCAATGTCTGAAGCATGAAAAAGCTTGGATATCCTGTGGTGCTTATTTATTTACCTCTAAGGGACGTTGTTTCATGTCAAGTTACCCTTCAGGCATCATTTGTTCAAAGGCTGAGTAAATTTATCCACAGATTAAGTTCATCATTATGGCACCCCCCCCCCCCCCAACCCAAATCACCCTAAACATTACCCCTCATGATAAATACCTTAACAACAACTGAAGCAGCCACCATTCCATCAATGACTGATTCAGTGAATGGATCAAACTGCCTGTCAGACCGTCTCATGAGATCAGGCTTGAGAAGATACCTACAGAGTACCACAAAACAATTGTGTGACTCAAACTTGGTGTATCATTGCTGTTGGAGAAGCCAATCAACTCTTAATAATAGCAATATATCATGAGAATTCATATAATGCTTTATGATGGGAAGTTTTTCCTCTAGGGATGAGTGCTAACTTAATGACATGGTGATGGCTGCAAAGTGTGGGTGATGGCTGCAAAGTGTGGAGATGGCAGATTGTGGTTGTAGCAATTGTGAGAATTAAAAATCTTAACAAGCCTAATGTCTCCATGCCTGCCCACACTTATTCCAATTTACAATTTGTAAGCTTCTGGGTTTACTTTCACTCCTCGAAATCACATTTCGTTAGGTTTTGCTGACTGACAATGGAGCGGTACCCATTTACACATAGACTAGATGTCCACAACCATACACACAATAAAGTTTAATGCCATACCCGCATCTTTTGTTGTATTCAAATTTACCATCATTCAGTTGAAAGGCTAAGTCTGTGTTGACAAAAAATGGAAAAGCATTCAAACTCATAAGTTCAAGCATATGAAGTACTTTTACAAAATGATCTTGTAGAAATAAGCCTTACTAAGAAGGAGAAAATGGCCTTTTGTACAAAGTGCTTGCTCTCCTCAAGTAACCAAGTGCAATTCCAATACTACAGATAAATTTCAAATGAAAACATGACGCAAATAAAAAGAAATTGCTTTAATTAGTAACTGTTGCTTCTAATGATACCTGATGTTTGAAAGTTGAGAGAGACCATTTGGCAGCCGACATTCCAGAACACCTGAAAAGGATTGTAAAAAGTGAGACAATTATATATTCAACTTCTGCAAATTATATTTTAATATCAAGATGGCAGAAAAGGCAGAGAAAACAAAACAAGGGCATAAAATGCAATTGTATACCACAAAAGTCTTTACACCACAAGACCTCTTGTGTGGCCCACTCAGTACATGTAAAACAGTTCTGTTTACAAAATCTTTTTGACATATGTGACTGTCAGAATCTAGTTCTCTAGAAAATAGGTTGCATATTTGGGTTTCAGGTTTATTTATTCTAACTAAGCTTTGTAATAAAACACCCCAAATTAATATTTCCCTAAGTACCAAACTCAACCAGATTTGCCATTCCAAAAACCAAACTCACTTTACCTGTGGCATGTAGTTGCTTGATTCAACCCTACTCCCCCTTGGGTAGATCCTTGACAACTGACGTTTGTTATATCTTCATAAAAAGTCAAGAACAGTCAACTGTTTTTACTCAATTAGCAAACGTTTCCAGTAAACATAAAATCTCAGAATAAAAATGGCAAAAATAAACATCACCCTACAGTTTTCAGATCACTATTACATTGGATAAAGATCACTTTTATCATTTGTTTTGTTCGTCTTTCAGTTTCATTTCCTAAGACGCAAACTAGTCTTACTATGTTTTTTTTTACAACAATTTTGTTTTTCCAAATTATAATTTTTTCCTTGAATTATTATCATTACTATTATTACTATTACTTCTAATTTTAATTTTTGCACAATAACAATACTACAATTCATCACAAGAACTTACATCACATTAAGATGTTAGGAAAAAGGCTACAAAAATTATTTCAGTGAGGAAATAAAAGGGGGTACTGACAACAAAAAATTAAGCAAGGAAATTCATAAAAAATAAAGGGGGAGGCTCTAACAACATAGTTGCTGTTCTGTAGAAAATAGCTCAACACACAGACTAACATCTTCGAACAGAAGGATACCTGACAAATTCTACTGGACTTGCTTTCAGTAAACCAAACCCAGTGGACTCATTAAATGATGAGATGTGATGAGACAAGTTCTTTTCTGCAAGAAAAGAGGGTAAGAAGTAAACAAAATTATTTAGTAATTGACAACCTGCAATTGCTGGGTGGTTAGCAGCTCGTCTGTAATAATTTTTTAATGTGAAGAGCCAAATATCAGGATTGACTATTTACAGAGTCTAATGCCTCAAGACAAGGAAAAACTGAAAAAGTTACAAAGACAGTTCAAACTTCTAAATATGAATGAAATGTTTTTATAAAATAATTCAAATTGTACACACGCTCTGATTGGCCATAAAACTATTTTACATGAGCATATGTAAACACGGTTTTCGTTACTCTTTCATTAGTTATTTTATAAAAGAAATGTAAAATGGTTTCCATGTTTACATAGCCTGATGTAAACACTTGGGAGGTTGGGAGAACACGAGATAAGCTGGAAACCATGACGCGAAGCAGAGTGGTTTCCTACGCTTATCTCATGTTCTCCCAACATCCCACGTGTTTACATCAGGCTATGTAAACATGGAAACCATTTTACATTTCTTCAAAACCCTTCAGCCCTTGAGAGTGACTGGCATCTAATTTCTCCTTACAATATCACCCCTGAATCAAACACAAAAACCATGAGAACAGAGGAGATGATCACCAACCAAAGGTCGGAGCTCTAGACTGTTAAATAAATTCTCCTTGTCAACATACTGATGTTAGGTTTTAAAGGGTAAAACAACCTGCCTCAGCTGGCTTTCTAGTCAAGTGCTCAAAAATTAATTACCTGATTTCTTCAACAAGAAGCTACCTTACACTGCACAAATAATACTAACAAACACATTCCTTTTCTAAGTTACGTTGACACTGTATCACCTAATGGAGTTCATCAGAGGTGGGTTTAACACTGAAGATTAAAGTAAAGCCATGGGTTAACCCCTGTTTTGGATTACTAAGGGTGTGCGACTAAGCAGGAGAGTCCTGTAGGGAAGATATTTGACTTGAGCACCAAGAGCCAATTTTTTTTCCAGTCTTGCCCTAGCTTACTTAGTCAGTAAATGATTCATCATGTAACTGGTGCACCTCTTTCGTCAAAGAGTTCTCTATAGATCAATGGCAGAGCACTGGAGTGCAAAATGAGTCAGATATCTTTCAATCTTTTTATTTGTCCATAAAAAATGAATGGGATGACAGAGCTCAAAATTTACCATCTTTTTGGTTTCTATTTACACTAACAACTAGACAGTAACATGTCTCAACCTACTTTCTGCTTCGTCAAATCCAGTAAATGGTACTGGATGAATGTAATTGACCAATGATGACAAGAAGGGATGAATGCTTCCAGTGGTCGAAGTGGTAGTCATTTGCGCTAAGCATTCCAAGTCTTCGGGAGTGAGACTGGCTGCCCTTGATGTCTTTACAAAAATTTCAAAGTATGGTTAGTCAAAAAAAAAGATTAGATTGTAGAAGTCAAATGTTAGAAGAACAAAAAAGTGGCATATGAGGTGCAGCTAAATGTGTTGCTAATCTTCTTTTTACATCATGATGTCTTCTGTAATCTATTGGGGTACAGACCCACGGCAACATGGGATCTATTTGTTTTATATGATAGAAAAAAACAATATTTTGTTTATGGTGATGTCATCTTTGCATCTGTCCTCCAACAGATCATAAGTAAGAACCAATCAAACCGCATGATTGTATATTTCAGCTTATCACCTAAACTGTCCTATTACACAGTCCTATTACGAACATGACAAATATATTGTCCCATAAGGACTCAAATCAGGCTGCTGAGAGCAAATCAAGTGCATGAATTTTGTTACAGTTTTGATCAAAGGAGCTCTATCAAAATACTTTGAATCACTTTCCGTACCCACCTTCTTGCCCCCAACCATATTAAGTCTCAGTGAACTTCCAAAGCTGGCCAGTTTCTCCTCTCGTTTCTTAAATTCACTGATGACATCTCGCTCTTCGTCATCCTCCAAATTTGAATCCACACTTTGTGTGCTTGCATTACTCTCTTTCCTTCCGCAAAAGAATTTTGGATCATAAGAATAGTCTTTGCTGCCTCTTGAGGATGATGATCCAGAATTCGTTCCTTGTACTGAAGGGTGAGTTCTTTTAGAATCGACCTTGCCATTGCACTGAATTACGGATGAAATTTTCCCATTTTTTTGATCATTTTCTTCAGGCTCTGAATCAACCTTCTTCCCCTCTGATTTTAAGGAACTTTCATCGGAATCATCAGCACCTTTGTGATTGTCATTTTCGGTAGAATCAGAAACTTCTCTAATAGACTCAAGCCCGCCATTACTACGGTATGGTTTATGAACAACATCAGGTGTGTTACTTTCTTCTTTGGTAGATGGAAACTTGTAAAGTGTCTCCCCGCTGTCTGTCACAGTCACAGTTGGCGTTACAGAAAGACTTTCACTGTCAGTGGAACCATCTGAAGTTGCACTCAAAGTTGAAGCCAGAGAGATCCCTGAAACGCGGTTTGCTGAAGGTATTCCTTCTTCATTAGTTCTTGACGATCTTGAACTACTTTCTGAACTACTGTCTGCTACTGACTCAATTCCTTGCATTTCGAGAAAGTTCCTACTATTCCTTGACATGACAAAGGTATTGTCCAGATCCTTAGATACACCATTTAAGCCTGCATCATTAAGAATCCTGGAAAGAAGAAAGTTTGAGTACTCTGACACTGAATCTGACTCCGAGCTAAACTGAGAAATGTTATCAAGGGTCCCAGACTTGTCATCAGATGATTCTTCTGCCGCAGTTGATGTAGATTCTCGTAAAAGGTCGTTGCAAATTTTATCACTGTATGCCATAATTTTATCAAACTCCTCACAGCTTACAGATCGGTCACGAGCATCATCATCATCATCATCATCATCATTATCACTTTCTGGCACCTCATCCTCCTCTTCAATTTCATCATCAATAATTGCAGTTTCCTTAATGCTTCCTGCACGGTAACCTGAATAAGAATATCAACATGGAAATAAATAACTATCAGCGTCTGAAATTGAGACCAGCTGGTTGGCAATGGAACCAAAGAATAAATGCTAACTGCCAGTATTTCAATGCTAGTTACCAGAGGTGGCTGACCAGTCTTCAAGAAATAACTCAATCATCAATCTTTTTTTTTTTCATTCTGCTCTCAAATGGTGATCATTCATGAACAAGAATAGGTTTTCAGCAAAACCTCACTTTGATTAGCAACCTTTTCCTAGCAGTCAGATGTTATGGCCAACAATATAATGGAAGGCCAAAATAGGTAATCCCAACAAAACTGAATGCCTCCCTAGCTCAATGTAAGTTCTTGGATTTTTTCCAGTTCTTACATCTTGTATGCAGTTATCACCCACGTTGTCATTACCTAACATCTGAATGATAGTCAAATTAATAACCCTATTTTAAACTTATAAATATTTTATTTCTGTGCGAATCTGACCACCATATTACCTGAAGAGTCAGTTGGTTCATAATCGCTAAGCAATTCACTGAAATCTAAAGGGAAAAAAAGACCAGAGTCAACATTTGACATAATAATTAATAGAATATTTGATTGAAACCTTGCACCATTGTATTTCTTTTTTTTCCCATGCTAAGATGCTGTAGATCAGTAAAAATTGAAATAAAAAAGAAATTCAGTAGCTCAATTTATTAGGTCTACTGAAGAACAAGTTAAAATATCTATATTTATCAAAATAAAGAAGAAAATAATTCTTCTTCCCTCAGTAGGAGATGTAACTAAAAAGGATTATTTTTTCACCTTCCATTTCTTGTTCTGGTTTGAGTTTCTTGTTCTTGATGATTATTTTTCTTTTGAGATGGCTCGGTGAAGGAAGTGGTCTACCTTCTTCAATCTGAGGAGAAAACAAAAAAAAACAAGAAGTTAATAATTAATCAGATAACAGCAATGGAGCAATCTTCAGTTGGGCGTTGTAACCAAACCAAAACCATATCAATCAAGACAGGCTATCAAGGAAGGAAAATATATTAAAGAGTTAACGTTAACTCAACGTAAAAACAAGCAAACTGCCTGAAGCATGAAACAATGTGGGTGAGCAAGTTGTGATTGGTTTTAGTTGTGAATTGATTGGTTAACCCTTCAACTCCCAGAAGTGATTAACACAAAACTTCTCTCTAAATTATCCAAACATATGACTGGAAAACAGGTAATGAGAATATTCAAACTTATCAGGTATGAGTCATTATCCTGATTTAACACCAAATTCTTGTTGCTGATTTTTCACAGAAATATGTACCAGCTAGAGGGGAGAAGTAACAAGATGATCTTGGGAGTTAAAGGGTTAAGAAAGTACCACAAGTTTTCTGGACCAATCATATGACAGCGTAGAGGAAAAACTAAGCAATCCAAGATTGCATTTGACACTCCATTGAATATTGCTCTTTACAAATATCATCAATATCATTATCATTATATTGCCATTGTCCCAAATCATTTGAACTTTTTTCAGTTTACAGTGTGTCAACAGTAGTTTTTTCCTTTATCACCAACAAGGCAACAAATTTAAAATAGTCAGCCCTTTGACTCCCATGAATTACCAAGACAGAATTTCTCCTCATTGCACCAATACAATATCAAGCAGACAATACATGAGAATAACAAGAAATATCAACTGAAGAATCATTAGTTTATCAAGTACCAAATTCTTCAAACTAACATCACCAGAATTATATAGCAGACAGTAAAGAGAATTACTTCAATCTGAAATCTTGGGAGCAAAAGGGTACATTACTTACTGGATGACTTTCCAAAGGAAATTTCAATAGCATATCTCCAAAGATATCAGTACAGTAACTAGCCATCCTGTGTTGTTGGGATTTGCTGAAACAAAACAGAAAAACTTGAATAAAACAATTACCCATTCAGAACCAAACACAAGTTACTGTAACAACTAAATGCTACATTAACCAATAACAATTAAAAGAATTGGAGAAATAACACTATTATTTACTTTCATTGAATTAAAATCAATATGTGATTATCAAATACACTAGCTAGCAAAAATGATGGATTAGTGAAAAATGCCTTTGATTTCAAGCAAATTAACTAAATAAATGCTTAAATAACTATAGCGTAATCAGCTTAAATACCTGCAGTGATTCTCAAAGGATAGTATCACTGGGTACTCAGATGTCACAAATGCTGAGTCGCGAATTGCTTCTATCACATCCTGCACAATAAATCAACAAAAGAATTATGTTAATTCCTGGTAGCAAATGACATTTCACCATAATGTTACAATTTATTAGTCATTACCATTTCACTATTTTATAATTCTATACTGCTGTCGTCAATGGGAATCTTACAGTACTCCACTTCTCCTCAGTGCTTTAACCTTTTAACTCCCAAGATCTGATTGTTAATTCTCCCCTCTAGCTGCTACACATTTCCTTGTAAATTAGCCATGAGAACTTGGTACTAGATCAAGATAGCAGCTTCTACCTGATAAGTTTGAATATTCTCATCACCTGTTTGCTGAAGAATGTATGGATATTGTAGGGAGAAGTTTTATGTTAATCACCTCTAGGAGTTAAAAGGTTAATAGTTCTCTTAAACCTTTAACTTTCCAAAGTGATCATAAGACATCAAAAACTTATCTTTACAACTTCACTACATTATCCAAGAAACAGGTTAGGAGAATGAACAGGAAAGTCAACTAATTGGACTAGGCTCTTATACTGATGACATACACATTGTAACCCAGAATTCTCTAAACACACTTACAAAGAAACAGATACATGCAGGATAAAGGAATTCCTCTTTAGATCTAAGGAGTTTAAACTTTCAACCCTAGTATCTAACTTCTCAATAAGGCATAAGCACTGAATCAAACAACAGGCCCAGGAGAATAAAAGAAATGATCACTTTTTTGAAAAGCTCCTGATTTTAAGCTTAACTCTCCTTGTCATTGCCATAGGAAATATATAAAGAGCAGTATAGAGAATATACATGCTGATGTTAGGGTGTCGAAGGGGTTTAGAGCGAACCTCACCTTAAACATGATATTAGTACACATGGCTTTGCCATGTGTTATAATGGGCTCATCACCAGGCCCATCCCAGCAGTCCAGTTCAATGCACCTTTAAAGAAAGAAATCAATGGGTACATTGGTATTTTCCATGTAATTTAAGAATAAAATAGACAATCTTGCAAGTTGTGTATGTAGGTTGTCTCACAACTCAAAGCTTTAATATTTAGTAACCCCTATAAGAGTATTACTTACATTTAATTTCTAACCCTAAGCGATCACCCTTATGTCAAACATGAGGGTTGTGAGAATAGAAGAAATGATCACCAACCAAAGAAGATCGCGATTGTTTAAAAAAATGCACCGGTATCGCAGAGGTCATGGATTCAAATCCCGTACGGGCCTGAATTTTTTTCAGGTCCTATTTACAACTACTCGTTTCAGTAATGTTCTTAGCTGCGAGGATCTCTTAATTTCATCTCTCCACTGCAGTGCAAATATATGAATTTTCATATATCTAAAATCTTGAAGTCTCCTTGTTAGCACCTTGGAGAGCAGTATGTAGAATAATTTTTTATACAAACTGATTTTAGGGTGTGCAGAGTGAGCATTTTTGAGAAAGGGGAAAAATCTATGGATGGTGAATCAACTACATATAGTGAAGGATTTAAATTCCACAATTCTCTGTTGCTCTTGTGAGGCTTTTAACCCTTTTACTCTCAAGATTGGATTGTTAATTCTCCCTTCTAGCTGCTACACATTTCCTTGTAAATAAGTTACAAGAATTTAGTGTTAGATCAGATAACAACTTCTACCTGATACATTTGAGTATTTTCATTACCTGTTTGCTGGATAGTGAATGGATATTTTAGGGAGAAGTTACTTGTTAATCACTTCTGGGAGTTAAAGGGTTAACAATAAAAATGCTTCTTACCGACAGCCTGCCAGCAGGCATTGCCTGTACATCTCCACAGAAGACTTGCCGCCAAACTGACGCCCTGGAACAATAGAGCATCAGATCTGAGCAAAACAGTTCACAACCAGTTAGCATGATGCTTTTTAGGTAGATATAAAAAATGTGGCTTACCCACAAGGTAGGTATTGTGTGACGAGTTAATAAAGTAGTGTGACAGAGGCTGTGTCATGTCCTGATAAATTTCCACTCTGTTAGGCATCATAAGAAGATTGTCGTCACTCAGTAGGTATCTTGTCAGTCCATTGACAGTGATCCGATCTACCACAAGAACACAGACAGAAAATGTTGATTAGATACAATAATAAATGGTGACCATAAAATGCCTTAACCCTTTAACTCTCATGAGTGACCAAGACAGAATTTCTCCTTACAATATCAATACAATATCAACCAGACAGGTGATAAGAATACATATAAAGAAAAATATAAGTTTTAGGATTTTCTAGTTGATCCAGTACCAAATTCTCAGAACTAGCATTATAAAAATTACATGGCAGACAGTAAGGACTAATAAGATCATAGGCATAAAACTTATTTCTAAAAAGTTGCATCAATCACTTATTTGGAAGCAGAAATTTAAAAAGCAGTATTTCATTGTTTTATTCCTTTCAAGGGTTATTCCATACCTCTTTGTAGGTTATCCAAAGATTTCTCATACTTCCATATTAGAGAAAGGGCCTTCTCTCTGTTGTAATACGGGTAGAGTATCTCATTCAGTCGAGGATCTCTTTGCTCATGATTCAAGAAGTTAACCAGCTGGTTGACATTAAGGTAGGGGGCTTTGCCACCACCCCTGACAGAAAAAGAAATGATCAATTAACAGTTATTCACTTTGGGCTCAAATGATATCTAATGCCCCATTGCAGACTGGGTTCCCATTCCATGGTGCCACACCTAAGCACTAAAATGGACGTTGTTCAGACACCCCAGCACCCTGGAATGAGTATGTTTACACTCATGCAGAAGGCTTTGTGCCCTGCATCTTTTTTGTAGTTTGCAATACGTGTTTGCCATTTCAGTGACAGCATTGCATGAAGCATGAGAAATGACAAGTGAGCTGAGGAAAACATGTTCAGACAAGTTCCCATGCTCAGCAAAGGTACTTGAGTACCACCCCAGGAAGTAGTGCCCATGTCTGGCCACAGTGCTCAAATTTTGGTTAGGCACCAACAAAAAGCTATGTTCAGACCATTGTCTGATGCCAGTACAGGCACCATGTATAAAGGATAACCAATGAAATATCAATCAAAATGAAAATGGAGACAATTAATTGATGTTTTTTTCCTTTCTTACCACCTAATGCACAGTTGTTCAATTTCAAGCCTGCCACAAACTTTCAAGTAGAGCTGATAAAACTGCTCGAAGGTAAATGATGAACAGTCAAGTTCGTCAGTCTGTTGAATAGGAAAAAATAAAACAAAATGGTTTTTTTAATTTGAACACTTTGTTTACAAGACAAAAAAATACCCCTTTCTAGAAAAAATAAAGGGTTCATCTTTAATATGTTTCATTTTTCCTCAATGAAATTGTAGAAAAGAAAGCTATGTTAAGTTTGATTTTTTAATTATTACCTTCCCACAAGGAAGTTTCATAGCTTCTAGTCCTTCAAATACTCTTTGCTCATACTTTCCAACATTCAGGCACTTGCAGATACTGAAAAAAAAAAAAGTAAACAGATTAAGAAAAGCAGTTCATAGCAAATGGAGGTCTGTCTTGAGTTAAGAAATTTCAATTTATTTAGCATTAGTTTCAATTTCCTAGAGGTGCCTTGAAGTACTGCAAAATTTATGTCCATAATTTAGACCAAATTCACAAGTTCTTACTTCTAACAGGGTCCATTTGCAACTCACTGTTCTTTCACAATGAGATGCATATAAACCAGGGTTTGTATGTCCTATACTTCTGTATGGTAGATAAACATGGATGTCAGCTGGATTCTTGGCCAGCAAATGCTCAGTAAAGCACTAACTTCCAATCTTAATGTAAGCTTAATTTGTTAGCTACAACTCTAGTAAAGTATATTTCAAACTTACGTGTAATTATAACAAGGGTAATACCTGTCTCTAATGACAACTTCTACTCAAGTTGTCAAAACATTGGTCACTCTAACTGAAAACAGTCCTTTTCTGGACTACTCTACTCTAAACCTGGACAATCAGACTACAAAGTTAATTAAGGAAGCTTACTTCTTTACAGAAATCTTGTTGGAAGGAGTTGCCAAGTGAACAGTGAGCTTGATATAGCTGCAAATGAAAGATTAACAACCAAGTTAGTCTGATTCAGCCATCAGTTAGTAGAGCATTATTTGTATTTAAACAACTTGAGGTAAAAAACACTGAGCATGGACTGCATACAAAGGGGAAAAGGAGAGAAAAGTTGATTGGAGTGTATAAAGTGTGATCCTAAGGATCTGAGAGCAAATGGCTGCAAGGAAGGTATTGTTTCTTCATTACAAAAAGTGAACTGTGAAATGTCTTCCAGTCAAAATTATATTTAATTGGCGTGACATATTCATGAAAATGTGACTGACTCCATTGAAGAGGGAAACCAAACAAGAGGTACATTGTTACCAACTGTGTCAATTTGTGTGGTTCAGGTTTCTGGAATATCCTATGGATTGCCAGTGGTAACAGCCAGCCCCTTAAGTGGAAAGTGCCTCCATCACTGGCAAAACTATACAACTAAGCCATATGTAAAATGGAATTGATTACATTGACAAAATCACAGGGAACAGAAAGGAGAAAGGGAAAGTGGCAAATTCTCAACAAAGGAAAAACTATTGGTTGGTCATGTATGTGTATGTTGCCTAAAACCTCATGGTGCTGCCCAAAATGCCCCACTAGTTAGGAATGATGTTGGAAACAATTGCAGTTGCAGCTGATATACAACTTGTCTAAGCTCTATCCACTTTCATTGCTCACTCTGGTTCATATTTTCAACTGTTAAATTGTCAACAGACTATGTTAAAGAGGAAGTTGATTTGCCAGGTGGGAATGCAAAAATCCCATATGAAAAGATAACGAAAATAGCTATAATTTCACACTGCATATACATGCATTCCACCTTGATCTACCAAAATAAACTAATGCATGGTCTACTTACAGTTTAAACAACTGTGTCAAGACACTGGCATTCCAAATATTGAGGTTGTGTAATAAGGGTGGGAGTCCATCAATCCATTCCTTGCAATGATAACAAGAACATTAAACCTCTTTCCTTTAAATTTAATTTCAATAACACCTGAGAAATTAATAAACTTCTAGTGAGTTCTTGTGATGATTAACACTTTCATTCCCATGAGAGACCGAGAGAGAATTTCTCCTTACAATATCAATAAACTTTCAAGTAGAAAAGTGACAAGAAGATATAATTTAAGTATCCACTGAGTGAAATACTTTGATGTTAACAAAAGTTGAAGGAAATGTGTGACAGACACAAAGTACAGAGCCTTGAGAGAGGTTAATTTGAACTCATCACTCATACTGAAACCAAGCTTATAAACCCTTTCACTCCCATGGGTGACCAAGACTGAATTTCTCCTTATGATATCAATACCATATCAACCAGACAAGTGATGAGAATAAAGAAAACTATCAATTTGGGGATAATTAGTTGATCCAATACTAAATTCTCTGAACTAACATTATAAGAATTGTATGGTCGACAGTAAGGAGAATTACAAATTTGGTCTGGGAGTTAAAGATTTAACTCCCCTTTGTCTTAAGGTTTGACTTTACTCCCATGATCTGATACCTTTTTCTTCTTATCCCTACACACCCTGGCATCAGCATGTATATTCTCCATACTGATGTCTATAAATTTCCTTTGTTAGTGGTAAGGAGAATTTGTTCAACAATCAAGAGCTGATTTGTTAAGGATCATTTCCCTTATGCACTTGATCCTAATGTTTGATTCATCAGTGAAATTTTATGAGAAATGAGATGCTGGTTACCCTTAGAGGCTAAAGTGTTACAGCTGAATTACATTACATTTGGTGTTGTTTAAAAGATTGCATCCTCTACCAGACAGTGAAGCCAGTTTTCACCACCTTTTCGCTGGATAAAATATCACTCCTAAGACTCAAAGAATCAACCTTTTAACCCCTGGTAGTGACCAGCATCTAATTTCTCCTTACAACATCAAAAATTAAGGATATGATTACCAACTAAAGAAGCTCTTGATTGTTCAACAAATTCTCTTCGTCAACACCTGTAGAGATGTATAGAGAACAGTGCGGAGAATATGCACACTGGTGTTAGGGTGTTAAGGGTTATATGCATCTTCAACACATCATTACTCTTACCTTTGCAATTTTACATGATGGTGCTGTTAAATGCAAGTAGGTGACATCCACAAGATTTTGACCAAAGACAACAGTAAATGACCTGTCTTCCAAGGATCCCTCTCCTTCACTTTGCAGTGTTTCTCTCAATTTGGCATCCTTTAACAGGGAGAATGACATTAGTTTGTGTAGCCATGTTTATGAGAAAAAGAGTACTGTACACAACATAGATGCTAAATTTTCAGATGATATAAAAAGATCATCTCAAGATTTAATCTGAGTGTTCAAAGAAAAGTCTCCAAGGCACCAACAAAAAACTGAATTCAATGCCTCGAGCAGTTAACTGAACACTTTCAATTAATATGTGCAGAACAGTAACACATATAGCAAATAAATGAGGAGGTGTCATCCTCTTAAACTTTTCTGTAGGCAAATCATTCTTATGCAAAATGTCATTATCCTAACACTTATCCATTAAGGAAAAAAATTTTAACAATCATTTGGAAATTAGTTACATGTACCACAATTCTTTGTGATAAATTATTGATAAAAAAGCATTAATTTTCAGTATCTAAAGCCCCTTGGAAGTCATGAATAAATATTAAAATTTTAAAACATTGCCTTTGTGGCGAATCACCCACTTAGTGATTTGGTTTTTTCTTTAAGTGACACACATGACAAATCTACTGAGATTTCCAAGTTTCCATAACAACAGACCATAATGTGAACAATGTTTAATTAAAGAAGACTTTTCATCACAATGAAAACTTGATTTTGACCTTAGACATCACGAACCGGACAATCAGTTCTAAAGAGCCACAAAAACTCTTTGAAGATAATTTAGATGAAGACAGGTGCAAATTTTTTCAGCATGACATAATCTGGTAACTTAGAATAAAATAAGAGCCCTATCTGTAAAAAAAAAAAATCAGTGTTTGATTTAAATAATACCAAATGATTAAAGAGTACAAAAAATGTTTAGAGCTTACTCAGAGGAATGAAAAACCTGAATTTTTGCCTTATCTAAAACTTCATTGATGACGAGAATTTTTTTAAGGGGTAACCATTAAAGCTCATGGCCTCTAGTACATCTCATTGACACCCAAAATTGCTTGGGATTCATGAAAATTTCACTGGTAAAGGATTGCTCTACCAGTTTGAAAATGTATTTCACCTGTCATGCTTACATTAAGGGAAAACACAAGCTGCAAAGCAAACTTGTGAGCCTCCTTGCTGTGACACAAGATTTGGTTTGAGATAGCAAAAAAAATCAACCAGCCATTTCATACATTTGCAAGAAATGATTTAAGTAAGGTTTTCATGTAGGGATGCAGAATATCATAATAACAGGCCAGTATAAGACCTAACTTCTCTGAATCTGAATAAAGAAAAATGGCTCAGGCCATCAAAATTTAGCCAATAAATAAATCGATACGCAAATATCACTTTTAAGTAAAAATATCTCTCTGATTTGTTTTGATTTGCGAGGGAAAATGACATGGACTACCTTTTTGTATAGTTTGTAATTTGTCTGGTAGACATAACTTCTGGAAAATTACCAAGTTGGTAATTAAAGCAGGATCTCTGCTCACCAAAATGAATAAGTCATAAATGAAAAATATAATTCTCAAACATAGCAACTGAAATTTAAATGTTACACTACATAAAAACTTATTGTGCAGGCACCAAAGTAAGTATTCTTTTTTTTGGTTAAAAATGTATCGAGTTTCATTTAACCAGCTACTATTCGACCAAGAAAACGTAAATTAAATTTAAAAAGGTACAGACGTGTGCAATATTGGGAAAATGCCACTGATATCTCTAGCACCCAAACGCTGTGGTACTAAACAAATTCAGGAAGCAAATTTGTCTCAGATTAGATTTTCAGAACCCAATACTTGACCTAGTACTAAGAAGCAGAGCAATTTTTCCAACAATGTTTTTAAATTTTGGTTGCCATTTATTTTCAATGAGTTGATCCAAAAAAGGAACTTTGTAGTATTAAGATGTTACTAAACTTAGGCTGGAAGTGTTACGTGAAAGCATATCTAACCCGCACAGTTAGTCGTGAGTGACATGCAAACTGTACGGATGAGGAAGTATTTCAAAATGCCTACAAGATGGCAGATAAAGAAAAAACATAAATCCATCTAAATTCACGGATACTCAACTTGTTTACAACCCGATAATTCAATTTGATGATATCGAACACTAAATTTATTTTTCAGTTCAAACGCTCTCTTAACAAACTCGATAATATTTTCGCAGGTAATGTTTTTCATGAAAAAGGTACACCGAAAAAAAAAAAAAACAACCTCTAAATATGGCTAAATTAAAACCCACACAAAGTTGTCAGGAACCCTAATGCACTCAGCTGTTAAGAAGATATTTGTTATCTATAAAGCAGAATGTTCACGATTTATTAAACCTGCAAACGGTCGCCTTCAATCAGAGTGATGTTACATGCAGGTATTGGTTTCTGTTCCAAATTATTTGACCGCTTTTGCGTGATTCATGCGACAAAAAAACACCCTTGAAAACTAATTACCCGAAGAAAATTCACGCACCGGCTCTGCTTAATTCATAATAAAAAAATACTCAACCGGTCGATATTGAAACTTACTTTTTGTTATTTCACGTTGCTGATGATACTAAAAAATATTCAATCCAAACACGAATTGCACACAAACTTGACAGCCATTTACGATAGACGTCAAAATTGTTATATCTTTATGTCGTAGTTGACATCAGCTGCAACTTAGAAATGCATTTTGCTTTCATTTCGATCTTAAGGTTTCCTCAGTCGCATGCTCGTTCAGTTGATCAGCCAGGACAACTACTAATTCTACTGAAAACCGAAAACGAAACTAACCAAATATCGCCCGCACAGATCGAATTTTTCATCCTCTCTGGACTCTCATTTCCTAATTTTGTGCTACGAAGCCAGTGGTTAACCTCGCCGAGATAAATTAAATCTCTCAGTTGCGGAAACAAGTATATTGATAATTGCACTCTCACGAATCTTCAAGCATTGCGCTTTCTGAGTAAAAAACAATATTCAAACATCGGTGGACAATAAAAAACTATGTCTGTTCCCAATAGATAATATTTTTTGAGAAAGAAAGAAAATTCTTCCGACTGAATTCTTAAAGAAGCCCAATAAGGAGGAGGACCATAACACGAATGTAGATAAATTTATTCGCGGGGTTTCCGAATTTTTGAAATGTAAACAAAGGTGTTAGAGATGCGCACTTCAACCATTGAATTCCTTCGATACCAAAGAGGAACGATGCTTGCCAAAATAAAGTGAATATTATAAAGGAACTGCAAACTTGATTTCAGGAATTTTTACACGATCAAATTCAGAAAAAATTAAATCCAACGAGACTATTTCGAACAGAACCAAATACATTGCTCAAATGGAATACAATTTGTGTTCCAAAAACGCAATAAAGTGTACCTACGCTTAGAATGTGTAATCTTCGCGATTTAATGATATTAGAGCGAACCACCAACTTCGTTCATGATCGAGAGCACAGATCCAAACGTACAAACAATTTCACCCTGATACGAACGTTACCCATCAAACATTTTACGTGTGTGAACATTACACAAGTTTTCTTTCGACCGCCACTAAATGCACATTATGGGCTTTTCCCATCTCTTCATTTCGAAAACAAGAATAATCTTCATGGTTGTGTAAGAAAATCTGCTAAAAATTCTAAAATCTAAATCTTACGAAAAATAATTAAAAGCACTAAGAAAAAATTGTTGCTGAGTAATCCCACAATCAAATGATCATTTGCGACGATAAAACATTTCTAAACGAAGCTTTGTTAAATACAAAAACATACGAACCTTTGGTATACCACCCGGTCTTACTTCGCTCACATGGCAAAGATCCAGACAATTCCCTTCCTAAATATACCGAGAAAAGGAGAAAAGGTGAACCACCAGAGTTTGTGACAAGAATCCTAAATATTTCATTGAGGTGAGTAAGGATTTGCCAAAACATTGCACCGCTCTGTAGGAAACGAATTTCTATAGAGGGAAAGCTAGCAGAATTTCTCACAATTGCTGCGGCAAGTGAAAACAATCCCGCAAACTACCTTATCCTCTTCTCTCCAGCCCAAAAAGAAGCCATATTTGTCGACACAGAAAAACAGCCCTTGACTTGAGTTGGACTCCTGGAAAACGAAACGAATCAAGCATCAGATAATCAAGATGCAATCATGAAGATGACAGTCTGCAACAAGCTCCCTGGTGCGAAAGCACACTTGTTGGGTATTGATCTGTTAACCGCAAGCAACCCTGTCATTTTGACTTTTCGTTCTAACAGAACCATGCAAGAGTTCTACACACAGGTTGTTTGATATACCTCTTCCCATCTGGTCAGTAGTGTCCCTGTTTCAAGCAAGTTAGGGACGTAAACGTCCCAAGAGATGCGAGAAGTCGCCATTTCAATTCAAATCGAGAAAACCCACAGTGGCAAACTCGCCAAGGCAACATAACACATAGCAAAAGCGAAGAGATGCTTTAGAGTGCAGCTTCTATCGTCGTAAAATCATAGTTTACAGCTTGTATCGCGATGACCTCCCTCGAGCTTTTAACTATTGTGTAGTCATGTCAAGAACTGATTAGACGAACAAGCGGCGATCCGAAGCGAAGACGAACTAAACACGATCTTGTTTTCTTGCGTTACAGCCGCATTTACGACTTCCGTCCCGCTAACCAATCACAGTAAAGACCAGTCCGTCAATCAGTTTACAACACAGCTGTTCTTTACGTTACGCGGCAAAAATTGTTGGTGAAGAAAAAAATCTGCTCTTCGTAAATATTGAAATTAAAATATCAATATTCTGCTGAGCAGACTTTACACATTTCCATAACTTACAACTTCTGCGCTTCAAACAGGGATGTGACCAGATTTGCATGAATAACAATCGAGAACTGCAAGAATATCACGATGGCGCGCTTTCTTTCATTTTGTTCCCCTTTCTCAGCAAACTGGAGTGTGAAAATTTTATTTCAGAAACCTTTATCGAAGGTGAAACGCTTCTACTCAAAGAAAAGAGACTTCCACAGATTGGGAACGAGATAAAAACTTCAAATGTTCGGTAATCAATATGTGAAAATACTAGAAGTTGCTTTGGAATATATTTTTGGTACACAGACGGTGATATAAATAATGCAATTGAAGGTGATTTATCGTGATTTATCATTTCATTTCTCAAGTAATGACAAACACTACTGAACGAAGAATAATTTAAGGTGCGTCAGCAGCAAATAAATCATCAAGTCAACGCTGGCTATTACTGTAAGCGACAGCCATTTCAGGAAAAAAACAAATCATCTTCTAGCATTGTGCTAGTATGGGCTTGAGAGAGAAATTACCAATATCTCCTGAGGATAGCTGTTGAAATATAAGAGTTGTATGTTTCCTAAAATTCGTATCTGTTAAAAAATTGGACAAAATTTTGTCGAACAAACGGTGCAAAAAATAAGAATAACTTCAAATCAGGACTATCTCAGTCCAAAAGGAAAAATAACCACTTTGTAAAATTATTCAGGGCATGTTCCATTAACCTTACGTAAGACTAAACAAACTTTCACTCGCAGCAAAATATAATATCTCCCGTCAAATCAAACTCAAAGCAAACCAAAGAAAATTTATGGAGAAAAAAAAAACAATAACAAAACAAAACGAAACAAATTATTATTTTTATGGCAAATTTAACAAAGTCGAGAACTCGAAATACAGCTTAAGTTCGCTGAAAATCTCGTCTTCTGCTCATCATGCTCTGCAGTATCTGGAGATTTCGGTTATTGCCAGTTCGCCCCGGCCTCCTTTTCGCCCCCACATCAGCAAGGTAGGCGCATTTCCTCTGCTGGAAGGAAACGAGTTAGAGATTTGGGGGCGAACTAATAAATGCGAGGGCGAACTTGTTATACCTGATGGGCGAACCCGTGGGTGAACTGATAGAGGGTGAATTTAGAAGGGGCGAAACCTCCAAATAACTATTAGGGATTGATTCACCCATAAAATAACAGACAATCCAGCAATTCCGACGTAATACTCCTCCAAAGAAACTTGTACAATGTATATTGACTTTCTCAGTTGTAAACGAAGCAACAAACTACAGATTGTATTTCAGAATTTTTTTCTGGCGAGGGCAGTAGAACAGATCAACAAGAATTTACTCTGTTGTTTGTTCCACTTGCGCTTTAGGAATGACATCAGTGGTAGGGGCACCAATCTCCTTAGCAACCATTGTTCAGACCCGTCATGCAACGCGTTCTGTGCGTCACGAGAGCGAACGAGCGCAGAGTGTTAAACAGAGATGTGACCGAAGAATTGGATTGGGAGAGACTGGTCACTAAATTCACAGTTTTCGTGACATCTAATTGGTTGGGAACACATGCATAACAACCGTTCATAGCGCCAAACCCTCACTTTTATTTTCATTTTTCACTTACCATGGCCGACGAAAAACAAGAAAGGGACAGTCCAGTTTTTTTTTTCTCTTTGTATCGTTAAGCCTGCGGCGGAAAAAGACGTAACGAACTCGAAAGGGAATGTTCCTTAAGTTCAATCTAAGCACAAGGCGAGCACACACACATAAGTTTTTCATTTTAAATCTTCACCGCACATTTTAAGCTTTACTTAACGATCACTACTTGATTTTCCATCAAAAAGTAGCAGAGCCGAAACGTCTCACTCACAGACTACGTGTAGCCGTACCCTCCCCCTCCCCTCGCTCCCGTTTCACCTTAGGGGGAGGGTACGGTTACACGTAGGCTATCTTGCACCTTACAACTCTTTTTGCAGAACTTTTTCTTTCTATGGTCTATCGAGCTCTGTCTTGACATGTTCGGTCTCAGGGCCGTCTTTCCAGAGAGAGGTGCGCTATGAGATGAGATTGAAGATGCGAGTAACTACTTGGACCAAATTGTTAGCAGACAGCGTCAGACACTTGGTCAGTGGCGATGGCCGAAAGAAGTATTCGCGATAAACGGTTTAGATCTGAGAAGAGGGTTCCTAGTCTACTTTACTAGTTCTTTCGCTCGTCCTGCTTTGCCGCTACTCGTCTCCTCGAACCGAGCGCCTTTAGGCTATTTGTAGCACGGGCTACCCTATCCTGCCATGGCAACAGACGTGCAGACGACCTAATCATGTCACAGCGCCCTACTTTTCGTGCGCCTCATTCCCAGAGTTCCGCGCGGTGCGCTGTTACCACTCTATTTTTCTGACTCGCAGGAGAGACTTCGTTGAAAAGCAGAGTCTAGTCTATGTCGCCAAACCCTGGGCGATCTATGTCTGCGAGTAAGAAATCAAACCACCGAGAGAGTTTTGTCGGAAGAAATACAATATTTACATTTCCGTGGTTTAGTAAAAAAGACAAACCTAAACAATTGTGTAATTCATGGTATGTCACAAGTATTTGACTAATGTCGATGAGGTGATAATAAGATTACAATAGACGAGCATAGAATGTTTAATAACGACCACAAATGAACACAGTGCAAACACAATACACTGCCAGTTGTTTGCGCAAAGAACCTGAAAATCAAACAAACAAGGATGAACGACAATGCCATGTTAACATTCCTGCATTGTTAAAGAGTTTTACAATGATTCTTTAATGAAACCTTTTTAGAGCAATGTCACCAACAGATGCGCAGCGCAATGACATACAGAGATTGTTGTTGAAAGGAAGTGTGTAGTCAGTTGAAATTGCGCACTAGACACAACTGACAAGACAATTTCCTCAGTGCTGTTATGTTGCTATTTTTCTGACCAGCAAATAGACGAAAAAGATGGCAATTTCCGCACCCAATTAGCGCTTGGTTTCGTGGTAAGCCCAAGTGTTCTAACAAGTACCATATGCGATAAAGTTTTGAAAATCCGAGTTGGAAAGGATGTGAAATTAAAAATCGCATAAAACCTATAGCGCAAAAAGCTAAACACTTATGAGCATTTTTTGTTTTCCTTAATAAAGTTCTCTAACATGACCAGAAAGTTAAACAATCGCGCGCTTACTAACACGAAGCTTGTGTTTCTTTTATCAATTTTGGGCGAAATAAAGTCGTATAACTGACAACAGGACACTACCTTTCTTTGACCCCTTAAACTCCTAAGAGTGACTAGCATCTAATTTCTCTTTACAGTATCACCCCTGGATCATATGTTAAGGTCACGAGAGTTGAGGATATGATCTCCAGCTCAAAGAGCTCTTGATTGTTAAATCAGTTCTCCTTGTCAGCAACTTAGGAAATATACAGAGAACAGTATGGAGAATATGCTTACTAATCGTAGGGTTTAAAGGGCTAACATCTTTGTACCAATCATAGCAAGTAACAGCAAATGCAAGTTTATTAATTTAGCCGGCAAGTTCCCATACGGAGACCCCCTGACTTGCCTTAGCGCTAGAGTTGAAAAACTGACCCAGATGATACATATAGACTTTCCTCATGGCTTTTACCGCAGATTCCGGCACGAAACCTTCCAAATTCTTTGATATCAACAATCAAAAACGTACCTCGTCCATACCGAGGTCTGGATGAAGACGACACTCCTCTGATTCAAGGAGTTACTCATACCTTCGTTAGTTAATACCGTTTATAAAATTAGCAATCCGAGAAGAAATATTTCTCAATAAAACGTAAAAATTGGAAGAGGACACTGTCGGAAGATGAGGAGAGAAAAACAATTTCTCTCCCTAGAAAACACAAGAGAAATGGCTTTTCCTCCAAATAAGATCACTTTTATTTTCATTTTCTCTTATCTTATTATGCAAAAGGAATGAAGAAAAAATCCTCCATTGTGATCAAGCCCGGTTACCGCGCATCCATGCTCGCGTGTACCTCACGCGAATTTTATTTCTTACGCGACCTTCTGAAGCTAATTTCCTGATCGAGGCTGGCACCTGAGAGACTGCTGATGAACTGAGACGACATCCGCTGCCTCGAGCAATGACGAAGACTGTTCACTTGTCCGTGAATCCTTCAGTCTTTATGTCTCCATTTCACAATAGCTCATGGCGACCAGAAGACCAGGAATCCGCTCGCATGCCATCTTGCGTGACTCATCTGCGTGTGACGACGAGGCTATCACACGAAATTTTAAAATCTTACAAACCCTCTACGTCATGCTGCTAATTACATCTGTGAGGTAGATACTCATGGTTTGCCATCATGGGTCATGGATTTTTGCGCTTTTAAGTGACTCGAAGTATATACAGTTAATTGCATGAATGCAAAGTTTGACCATAAATTTATATGTGATTATTTGTACACAACATAAACCCAACATAGCATGAAAAATTGTAACAAAAAAAATCCACTTAAATCAAATCTATTTACAATACTGAAGAATTTATCTCCACGGATAAATTCATCAGTATTTTATCTTAATCCTGGGGACTAAATGGAACAAAACAATGCGGTATCTGAACCATCATTCCGTTGTAGCCTCAAACAGACTAAGCGACGAGGAACCTCATGGTCGATACGAGATAACGCTTGACCACTATCTCATATTCCACATACTTTCAAAAAGGCCTTCATTTGCACACTTTCTATTGTATTTCCTTTCATGGCTCTATTTTTTAGTTGATTTATAACTTAGTAACAATTAAATTGCCGTCATGGACCTTA